CCCCTACACGATCTCCCTTTTTCCATACTCTTCCCTCAGCATCTGCTATCGGTCCCTGTCACAGACAAGATCCCAGAGTAACCTGACCCTTTACACTGACCAAGTGCCTTTCTCACACTCTGCCTGCTTTTTCAGATGAGACAGTAGGAAAAACTGTTAATTCTGAAGAGTACTTAGCCCTCGGAACAAGCCACTTGCAGAGCAACAGCAGCCCTTCACTAAATACTTTAAAGAACAAGGACAGTTTAGCAGACTTGACCCCTTGCTTCTGTTAAAAAAAAAAAAAAAAAGAAAAAAAAAAAGGATAAGACTGCAAGATTACAAAGTTCAGTGTGGGCCAACAACTCTACACAGTCCATCATTTAGATGTTTTTTTACTACCATAGAAATTAATGAGACAGTTGCAAATTCTGCACTTCAGATACACATAAAATTTCCAATACTGTAAACAGTCAGGTCACATACAGATAGGTGTGCTCAGGACAAAGTCTGAAACCTCAGTAACGCTGGCTGCGCTACCAGATTCCACCTTGTATTTAGAAGACTAAGTGCAAGATTCAGTGATGTCTAGTGATCCTCTGTCGGGAGTAAAACTGTCTCATTACTGCAACCAACAGCAGAAGCCTTCACATTTGTGAATCTTGCTTATAGTTGAGACAGGCACATTTGACTCCATTTGAAAGATGCTCGATTATCTGTAATTCTCAGAATTTGCTTCCATTACATCACTGTTTCATTTCTGTCATGAAGACATACACTTAGAAAAAGGGACGAGTGATCTTCTTATCACAGATCTTTGCACCCGTTTAAGCCTTTAGCTGGATCTTTAGCTGTAAAGTTAAGTGACGTAAAAGATGGAGTGCTAGATTGCAATCCAGCCTAAGAAGCAAATATTGTCTTTGGAGTGCCTTCCAGGTAGGACAGGAGGAGAAGAAACTATTTAACCCTATATAATTACTTGCTTCTTTACAACTTCATAGAGCTGCTAATTGGAAATGGAATAGGGAAAATGCATTTATTGTTAGCTCTGCTCTCCGCAAAGATTTTTGGCTGCTGATATCCTTTGGCACAACCCGTTATTTAGTATGGGTTTCCTGATTAACACGTTTCGAAAAGCTACAAAGCTCTAAGAAGTAAATGTTCTGTTTTCACAGAAGTCCCTATCAAGGGTAATGAGCCAAAGAACACAGGACAGCACTGAGACCTTCACATGCTCAATATGTTAACGCAACTCTTTAGCGCTAATGCACACTTCAGTGTGTTCATATATATTATTTTAAATGCAACAATAAATTATGATTGCCAAGAAATCTGTCAGGTTCTTGAAGGAATCTACAGCATGTACACGCAGTCCTTTCAAATGACGTAACTGTGAGGAAATCTGGATTTAACAGACTATATGTAGATGGAACCTGGTTATCAAATTAAGGGAAGCCATGCTTTGTGTGTTGTGCACTTTTGGCCATATTTTTCTGCAGGAATAATATGAAATAAATCAAAATAAATGACCTGATGGCTGTTATATATAGATGTGATGAGAGGCAGAGAAAGCAAGTGAGCCCAGGTGTTCATATGCGCAGCTTCTAAGACTGCATTAAGCAAGACCAGGGAAATCAGTTAAATTGCTTGTAGAAAATCGATTTGTTCAAAGTAGGATCGGAACTTGCTCCCAAAAGTCATCCTTTGATCATACCCATGTCTAATGTCAAGGCTGTAAGTTCACACTATGCTATCTTTGCCAACAATGTAAATGTGAGCAATCCCGAGTCTCACACCAGCAACACAGTATGTGCTGATACAGCTATTTGGAGGTAAATGGTGTAAACTGCATCACTGCAACAAGAACGGTGAAAAGTAACCCCTAAAAAGGGTGGATTTTTGACCCAAGCGGACTCACGAGCTGGTTTATAAGATGGCCACAAAACCCTGTGTTGACCCAGCTGATGGGTGAAAATGAACAACTCATGATGGATGGGGTTTCTTAGACCAATTTCATCACCAAGACCAGCGTATTATAAAACCAGGTCCCAGGTGAGCCACCAAAGTAGATTCTGCAGGTCTTTTGCTAAGGACTGCAGCAAAGGAATAAAGAGCTAGGAAGTTTTATAAATATGAGATCTGAAACCTATTTTAGTAGCAATGCAAAGCACTTGGGCTATTACTGACTTCATCCAAAACTGTGAGGACAGTGATAATTTGTATCCTAAATCTGATCATTTTTCCAGGTTGGTATCATAGCTATACACATTGTAAACTAAGATTTGGATCCCATGGGAAAAGTTCAGGAGTCTCATTTCTGGGATACACAACATCAGATCATGAGATACTGGTGGATGAGTTAATGGGAAAATATTAATGGAACATACATTTTGGCAGTCAGAACAATTAGCTAGGAACAAAAAATATCTGGGCACTTCATGAACTCAAGGATCTCAAGTCAAGGATGAGGAAGACTTCTTTTTCAGAAGCATGGACAATGCTTCAAGCACAGTTTATCCAAAGCAGTTGTTCTAGACTTGATAAAAAAAATTGCTTACCACAGAGAAAATAAAAGTGTTTCATCATCTTAGTCTAACCTTTACAGTTTACAGAAGAATATACTCTACCACTAAGAGGAGGCTTAGCTTCTGAATACACTATGAGAAGCACCTTTTTTTTTTTTCTTTTACAAGTTCCCCAAGACATCATCCATTCAGCTTCCAGTCACTTACACAGAATTAAGGGCACAGAACACAGTATTACTGGTTAATGAAGAATGGCAGAACATTCTCTTCCCCAAATCTGTGTCTGAGGGAGAAGACAGGCATGATATTGTGAAAGAACAGTGTAAGTCATATACTCCCTTCTCTATCAACTGATATTTACCTCTTTACGGTCTATGAAAAAATCCACATATTTAGCAGCGTTCATACAAAATCACTAATAGAAGAGAGGGAGGTTGAAAGAAAGCACTTGTCTTCTGACATATGGTCAAGAGTTCCACCCTAACCTGCCGACCTTTGTTAGCTTCCCCACTTCCCACAACAGCATCCTAGGAAAGGCATTGCTCTGAACCACTTGCACCTAAAAAACCCTGTATTCTATAGAATCAGGAAGAGGCAATAAACACCCTAAGTAACTGATAAGGTGTTTTGTGACTGGAAATGTATCCAGGTCCAAGTAGAGTATTCCATACAAAGAGGCAGCTGTTTTGCCATCAGAGATATGAGACCTTTGCTTCATTTTGAGTCAGAAGGTAAAAGGAAGAGAAGGCAGTGAAACCATTAACCAGCTCCTCCGTGAGCTGAGCATCTGTTTGCTGCTCCTCACAACACCACCACAGAGAGAAAACCAACCCACATAACCTCATACCAAACATCCAGACTTCGGTGTCAACTCAGTTACAAGATACCCCTTAGAAAATACACAATTCTTGTTCTCTCATGGATTCTTAATCACACAGGTTATAGGTGTGATCTACAGAAAAATGAAAGAACATTAGGGAAAAGCAAGTATGCTGTTTAAACAAAATACTGTATGTTGTTAAGCACTCAGATAATTTTGCTTTAAGAAAATTACTTCAGGACATAAACAAAACCGTACAATCAATCATTATATCAAATCAAACAATTATAGTAAGGTTCAATTTACAAAAGGTTAACAAATAATTAATAGCTGTTTTAATAAATAGGTATTTGCTTCTCATCTATTATCAATCCAACAGATAGCTTCTAGCTGTCTATAGTACTTTCTACTGATGTGCTTATAACCCTCCCTAACATATGCTACACATTTCTCTAACATGAATTACAACATCTAGAAATCATTTATTAACCCTTCATAAAATTCTAAATAAACCTTAATATGAAGCATGACTAACTTTATACTATTTCAGCCCCATACCCCAGGACACATCAAATACTAGCTCTTTCAAGTTTTTATTTAAAATTCTACATTTTGGGTGGGAGCCACATCACTAGCCACAGAACCACAAATGCCTACGGTGGCTTAGCCAACACACTGCAGACACAAGAAGTGAAACAAAAGTGGTGGGGGAAGATCACAGGGAACAGTTCAGGTTCTTCCAAAAGAAATGTCCTGGCTTTTTTGTTGGAACAAACATTGATACCATGACAACAGAATCAGAGAGCAAAAAAACGGAGTCTATTGTAATTCAAGACTTTTTTTTTTCCTTCTTTTTAGAAAAAAAAAAAACAACAAACACAATACATTATAATATAAATAAATAAAACAGAAAACACAAGGGTAAATTCCAAAACCCACCACTAGGATCTTAAAAAGGCAACAGCCAACGATGTCTTGGATGCAGCCTAAACTTCTCTTACCTGCAAATTTTCAATATACTTAGAAGTCCTATTTAGTGTATCAGACTTAGGGAAAAAGATGTCTTATATTTAGGTCTCCTTTTTTTCCACCCAGTATTTTCATCTTCAAACCCCCACCATAGTTTTTTTGCATCAAATTGCCTGCTGTTGTTTTAACAAAGTTCAGCTCAGACTTATACTTTTCCTTCACTTTCAGAGCCTCTATCTTCATTCTCACAGTCCTCCACAAGGTCTTCATGCTTCTGTGTCTTCTCTTCTTCCTCCTGCTCCTCCTCTTCCTCCTCCTCATCTCCAAAAGTCTCTTCTTGCATTGTAGTAAAAGTGAAAGACCTGGCAGCAACTTGTGCAGCCAGACCAGATGTGAAGTTTAAATCTGTTGATATGTGGAGCTGGGCCAGCCTATGCTTGATTTTTGAATGTAATGCATCCTTAGAGGGAGGCTGTGAAACCTCTACCCCATCCATATTGCTCGGCTTGAGTTCTTCAACTTCCCCTTCATGCTGATAACACATTCTTTCTTCAGCCCCTGTAGAAATACCTTCATCAGTAGCACTGTCTTTGTTTTCCTCCATCTCAGGATCTTCATACAAATATTCTGTCCTGCTTTTATCAGCAGCATTCACTTTCGGATTAGAGTCTTTTTCTTCAGATTTATCACAACTTTGGCTGCAGTCCTGCTTTTCTGTATCTGAATTCATATGTGATTCCAAATTATTTAGTAGCTTCAGCGGTTCTACAGGAGACAAGGGTTTCACTGCAGCTTAAAAAGGGGGACAAAAATGAAATGATAACTAAAAGCAAGCTGCTATATGTAAATAATTTACTTGTGTTTGAAAAGATGCAAGACTGTAGAGGTCAAAATGGATTAAAAAATAAAATCAAACCAACAGTAACAAAAAACACAATCAAAGAAAATTCAAAATAAAACACTGTTTTCTAACCACAAAGCTGAAATAAAATGTGATAGCTACTTGTTGGAACTACTCCGTAAAGTTTGTGACGGAAAAAGAGAGCACGAAATTCATAATTTTTAAAACCGGCATCAAACACAGATGATGCACTCAATATTAAAGTAAAAAACAAGTAGAACTACTGCACTGTATACAGATTTGAACTGTCTTTGTTTTAAACAAGTTTGTCTAATCCAATAAAGACAGCTGGTACACGAAAAAGTCCTTATATGCAATATCTGATCTCATACATCACAACATATAAATACAACACGTATTCATACAGTCAGGTAAGGTGTCCTCACAATAAAGTGTGGTTTAATTTAGCCTCTCTCGAAGTTAGTAGCAGTAGCGAGTCCCATTGCCAGCAACGGGATGCTTGCCAGGAAGTCTCTCCTCCCAGTGTTAAGGGTTAGTATAACTCGGTACAATCACTTCTTGAAGAACAGACGTCTTTCTTTTTAAGAAAACGATATAATGTCCATTTCCAAGTAACAGATTCCCTAAACTGCAGTAGCTCCATTACAGTAGCAGCACGAACATAAATGAGAGCGGCAACAGCAGATTCCCAAGTGGCATTTCCCTTTCTAATTCCATTCTGACTTTACCCCTGTAAGCAGAGATGAAAATAACTCTGGGAAATACACAAACTTTTCACGGGAAACAAAATTTACGGTATTAGGATTTTTCCATCGCATCCTATTTCAGTAATATTTACTTTAGCTAGCTGAAGGCAGGCGCATCATTATGGTTGTCACATTGATAATTATTGTCATTAGCACACTGTGGCTTCGAATTTGTACTGTATTGTTTGTTTTAAAACCTTATATTCCAAAGGAGCACTGCACCAGACTCATCTCAATTGTTAATGGGGTAGTTCTTTCCCCATCTTGTAAAAAACATGCTGCTGCTTATTTCTGCCCATTTGCTTGAAAAGGCAGGAATATGCAGAGTAATCTTATCACCTGGGAGCAAACTTGTTGCCTACTTCCTGCAAAGAATACTTCCAAAGCCAAAATTCCTTGAAAAATAAATAGGTACTTCAGAGTGGTAGCTGGCCAATTTGCTGAGTTGATTAGTTAGTAAGCAAGTGGAATGAGTGTAGCTTTCCAAATCTGAGAAACAGCTGTTTAAGAACTGTTGTATGGACAAGGTGGGAGAAGGGGAAACAGCTGGTACGATGCAACCACTGACAGAATGAACTTTTTTGGGGGGAGAGGTTAGGGGAAAGGCTAGAATTGATTTTGCACCAGAACAAAGTTGTTTTACAATGTTTGACAAATGAAAATGGAGCCACTAACAACTTCACAGACCTCTTCAAAAGCAGTTCCATTTTACTGGCTCAACAGGATGCCAAAGGAACAAAAATATAAGCTCACCTACACTCCCACAAGTTACCTACTGTAAGCAGTATTACCATGATGCTGGGCCTGGGCAAATTTGCTTTAGTCTGGTGCTCTGCTAAGATGATGTTTTTGTTCTGGAATCCAACCTATCATCTCCAGTCGCCTCCATGCTGTGTTCTTTAGACATATCAACTTGTTTGGAGCTGACCTCTTTTATGTGGAAACCCTCGCCAGCCCCTCCTTCAATGAACCAAAAACTCTAACAAATCAGAATGGCTTGCTGCATGCCTTCACTAACAGATTAAAGCCTTTGAATATTTCAGGATCTTTATTCACAATAACCACAAGTTAGGAGAACACAGGATTTCTGGATTATGACCATCCTGTAAAAGCAAGATTTAAAAGGGCTGTGGAAAAGTGTGATATCACAGCCATCCATTGGCTTGGGCCAATGGAGACAAGAATATGAACCTTTCTGGGTTTAAATCTTCAAGATAAAGCAAGCCACAAATGTGGAAAGCACAGCTCACAAAAATGCTTTTTTAAGGAATGACTTGTGTGTATGGATAAACTAAAGTCTGCAGCAATAATATGGCAGGGTCCATTATGTCATATTTAACTGACTTGTGTTTCCTTTGAAGAAACAATGAAGAAATTCCTTAAAAAACAGTAGAAAATGTTATGTCTGCTGTCCATATCAGTCTTTCAGATTAGACACACGCAGTCTCCAAGCCAAAGGAGACAATATTAATTACTTTCATGAACCGCCCTCATGTTTTCCAGTTTTGTACAGGACGGAAGTAATCAATGATTAGTCCTAGGCAGCTGGAGGAAATCACACTTTCCTCCCTCTCCACCTAATCTCTAATCCTAAAACAATGTCATATCTATACATGGAAAGGAAAGGAACCAACATGAGCCACAAAGGCTTTCAGGTGAACAGTTACTGAAGATTACAGGAGTCAGCTGACTCTTTCCAGCTATGGCCACAAACGGTCTGAGGATATACTGATGTGGAGAGGTATTAGCTGCTAACCTAGATAAGGAAATATCCTATTCAAGCTCTCCTGACAAGAACTCTTTCTGCAGCAGTCACTAGATCTGTCAAGACTTGAACTGGAGGTAGGATTCCTTCCTTCTCCCTTCAACAGGGAGGAAAGGAAGACTTGAAGAGATTTATGTGAAGAGTTGTGTGGTGTCGCATCTAACACCAGAAGGATAATACAGAAATCCTACACTTGAGCAGACTGATGCAATCTCATGTCTTATTTTTTTTTAACTCAACTAGAAGAGAAGTCAATACCAATGGCCAACTGATTTCTTTTACCATAGTTGTAGCTAAATGGACGTAAAGAAGAAAGTTGTGAAGAACAGGTATTTTCGTGAGTTTGATGTCAAAAGAAACAGTCTCATAAATAGGTATGGTCTTTACTGTCTGTTTCCACTGAATTATTGAAAGACACAATCCATGGTCTTTTTTTCTGGTAGGCGCTGGCAGAGGCAGAATCCTTGGATATGTTGCCAGACTTGAGGGTTGTTTGTCATAATATACAACATGAATTTTTTTAGAGGGCTTTTCCTAGCCTGTCTTTAAGGGGGAGGAATGAAAATGGGAAAAAGAAGTGAAAAAGGAAAAGACAAACTACCGCCAGTTTTAAAGATAATAAATCAAACAGCTCAAGCAGTGAAAGGAATCAAGTTGTATCCAGTGTTATTGCTGGAACAGAGACAGACTGTCTTGTTGAGGTAAGAGAAACTTTCATATTCCTGCCTTCAAGTGCAAGTGGATGGAGCTACGCAGCAGTCCTCAGAGTTAGTAAAGGCTAGTTTGGAAGAACTCTTCTTGTTAGTTTGTTGGTTTTTTTTTTAAAACATATTCTGTATACTCACTCTCTCATGGAAACAAAAGCCAGTCTTACTCTTTTATGAGCCTTTAATATTTCAAAGTCTAGCTCTTCACTTTAACCTATATATTTTTGTAAGTCTGCGATAATTTCTGATGGTTTCTTTAAAGTCTGAGAAGTAATTTATTTATGCACCCTAATTAAAATTCGTATTTATTGGAAAGCCATGAAAGAAAGTCAGTTCAGTTTGCACGGTTTATAGCCTAACAGTTCTCTTTATGCTGTCTTCATATTTTGTGTGTTTACTATTTTAGCTCAGTATTTTCTTTAGAGCCAAATTCCCATTTCTCCGAGTTCTTTTCAATATATAGTAAAATGATTGCTACAAGTAATAGAAAGAGATGGAATAGCAAACTAAGGCCACATAGCTCTATCAAAGACACTACTATGGATAAGCACTGTCTGAATTCTAACATAGTCAGAAGTTGATGGCAAACAGACACCTACCCTTTCTTAGAAAGGAATTAATTTTCAAAAGCAATGCTTACCATGGTCACTGAATAGCAGCTGTTTCCATTTCTGTCTTTCTATTTCTGAAGCTTTAAATCCCAGTACAGATTTCAATTCTTGTAACACCCTCTTAGATTCCTGTCTCTCTCGTTCTTGCCTCTCTCTTTCTTCCTGGGAAAAGCAGTAAAAATCTTCCCTTCTGTATTCATTCTCTGTATCTGAATAATCAACATATGCTTCCAATTCCTAAAGAAAGAAAGAAAGAAAAAAAAATTTTGATCTTCACTGTCAGTGTAGACCCTGTCCTACAATCTAATGCATGATCAAGTAATCTTCACACAAGCCAACCAGAGTAATAGGGTGGAGCCCTGTTTGAGCAGCGCCAGTGGATCTGACACTGCTCTCAGTTATATTTGTATAATTTTGGAGCAAGTCCACTCATTGAAAGTTAACATTGCTGCAGTCGCCTAAGATTTACTTTCATACACAAGTATGATCAAGTGATATACCTTGAAAATAGGAGTCCATTTCCCCATAATTACAGGTGGAAATAAGCAATGCCGATGCCGGTTTCTTTTTTTTAATTTATACCATAAGCAATTCTTCCTCAGTCAGGCATCTTGCTAATTTAACTTATGTAAATCCCTATTAAGAGGATGTTGAGAATAGCAAACTCCTCCTCCAATTTTAACTGTATTTAACTATACAAGCATGAAAAAAACAGAGCTCCATTTATGTTATAACAGACAGCCAGACAGACTAAGTTATTAGTCCCAGCTCTTTGATATGGAAAAAACCTAGAGAGAATACATGTGGGGCAGGCTTGGGAGAAGGCAAGGGAGGGACAGAGCAGACCATGGGTGTTCAATCTGCTTTCAGAGTGCATCTGCCACTCAGTTCTGGCATGGGGGAGGCCAGCCTCTCTTCAAGACAGCCCAACCATCACACACGAGTTCCCAAAATTGTTCAGTGTCACAGTCTGTTTTAGGTATCCAAAAATGCAGAGATTACTCAAACTGAAGACAGGCTGGTTTGTTTTGGAGCTTGTCCCTCTTGCAGGTCTGTCAGTTCATCTAACAATATACAAGCAGGACTCTATTTTATATACTGCTTTTTAGCAATTCACATTTTTTTCTGTATTACTCTGACTTGTGTTGCTGCTCTCCTTTTGTCACTTATTTCTAATGATACATATGAGAAGAAGTGAATGCTAGCACTCTTTTTTCCAGGATGGGGAATACCTCCCCATGGAACAGCAAAAGGAATATACATAATTTTTTTCTGTAAGTCCAATTATGAAATGGCACTGGCCACCTACTTGATCTGTCTTGGCAAGACAAGAAGGTCACTGCACAAGCAACTGAAAAAGGAATGGATACAGCAAACCAGCCCCAATTATTATTTTAAATGGTCCTATTTTTTTTTACCTGCTCTTCAGGGATTGGATCTTTGTTTTCTATGTGTATGGCAGGCTGTGTTAAAGGTACTGTAGTATGCTGTAGGTTGTCACAGGAAACTTCAAGTTTGCCTTTAGGGGGAAAGAAAAAAAGGCATTAAAAAAAAGAAAAAGATCGGATGTTGAATGATGTTTTTGACTCACTCAGGCAGGGTCCAGGCATTTTCATTAGGCAGGATTGACACACACAAAAAAAATGGTGAGAAGGCTGGTTAGAATACATTGAAACACTGTGTTAGAGAGCACTTAAATAACAGCTATTTTGATATAAGCTGGGTCTGATGAAACTCGTCTTGAAATACCTCAACTAACAAATCTCAAAGTCTTTATAGACTCTGAAAACCTGCAGATGGCAGGAAAAACTGGTAAAACCAGAAAAGAGACTTGGTGCCCAAGTTTAAAAAGAGAAGCAAAATAGTAAAATTACAGGCAAATCAGCCTCAAATCACTGGAAAATATTGGAAGAAATAATCAAGCAAAATTTACAGGAAGCTATTTGGAAGGTAGCAAGGAGATAAGTGAGAGCCAGTGTGGGTTTGTTGAGAATAGAAGATGTCAAATCACTCCAATTTCATTTTCCAATGCAGTACCAGGTCTTATGAATAGAAAGAAGCCAAAGACGTTTTGCATTTTGTTTTCAGTATGCCTTTTGACATGGTGTCATGACATACTCGTAAGCAAAATGCATAGGCCAGGAGAAGTTGCTATTAGGTGCACAGAACAGTCTCTTAGATAATCAGAGTGTAGTTACCATTTTCAGACAGGAATGATATACTGAGTATTTGTCTCAAGTCCAATACCCTTTTACTATTTCCAATGGGTGAAATAAAAGTGTTTCAGCTCACTGAATCTGCTGACATTGGGATAATCTGCAAGGATATTGAAGAGCACAATTAGAATTGAAAATAATACTGGAAAATCAGAGATACAGCCCAGGAAGAACTGTATTTCATATACAGCAGTTTGGTGACAGTGGCTGCAAATTTTTGTGCTTTGGAATAGTCAGATGCACAAATATATGACAACTGACTGGGCAGCACCACTGAAAAAAAGACATGAGGAGCCTAGTAGTCAACTATACCCTGCTGCAAGCAAAACGCCAAACTACATACTAGTACATATAAACAACAACACTGACTGTTAGACACACAAAATTACATTTCTATTCTGGCACTGATCAGGCTGCGGATGGAACATAGTGCCCAGTCTGGGGCTCCTTCATTGAATAATATTGTGGACCAACTAGAGGGAATCTGGAGGAAAACAGTGGAAATGATCAGAGGACTGAAAAAAGTATAGTCGGTGGGGAAGAGCTGAAGGATACAGAGTCACGTAGAGAAGACAGAAAGAAACATATTACAAAACTGTAAGAGCTATAAAGAGGAAATGCATTTCCATTGTGGGTGGATCAAAAGTACTGCTTTTAAATTGCAGCAAGAGATATTTATATTTAGTAATCACTTTCTACTGGTAATGGAGTTAAGTGCTGGAATAGATGCCTGGAAATACCATAAAATGTCTCTGAAGAGAGGTTTTTAGGAATAGGTAAACAACATGTACTCACAAGCACTAATTTACCCTTGAGAAGGGAAATGGGCTAGATGACCTCACCAAGCCCCACCTATCCCTATTTTCAATTTCTAATCTATACATTGAATACTTAGGGATGGTGTTCTGAAAGTAGGCAGTTCACATTAATGACAATTTTAGTGGTGCTCAGTTACCTGCTTTTGCAAACAAGGGAAGTAGGTAATTCCCTACTTGCATGGGCTGAGCTAAAGATTTGACATTCCAGAAGTATCTAAATGCAAAGTTTAAAAGAAAGGTGAAGCATGTAGTGGAATTGGAAGTCAGTGGAGAATTGACATGGGATATTTATTTTATAAATATCAATCCCTCTTGTCCATTGCATAACTCTGCCTTGTAATAAAAACATTTTAATAATAATAATGACAGCAACAATAGAAATATGTTCCTGAAGGTATGAAGACAAATTTGGAAGAGTACATGGAAGTTACCAATTAAAAGCTTGCCTTCCCAAATCAGAGGAGTAAACCAGCTGCTCTAAGATGTACAGACTGCTCTGTTTGCCACCTATATCGGATGATGCCATTGCTAAGGATATGCTTCAGGATCATGAATTCACAGTGTTTAACTAAAACTGCTGCTGCTTTAGTTCCTCTCCAGTGGATCAAAGGACTGCAAGATCCAGGAGCTTGCAGCAGAGCACTATGGCCTTGCTCTTACGAATATGTAAAGAAGTTGGATACATTTGCAAAGGTAGAGACAGTTTAAAAGGAAAAAGGATAGAATTTAAACAGTTTGAGGGATATTATTTCAAAGATCATTAAAACAACACTGTAACTAGCCATAAAGGGTATTCCATTTTGTAAAATTAGCAGCAGATTACTACATGCTTAAATTGTTGAGGCCTTAAGTGGTAAATCAGTTTTATCAGTGATGAAAAAAGGTGAAAGAAGAAAGAGAAGATGGCTGAAAGTCTAGAATCAACTCATGTTGGAAATGAGCAAAGATCTACATGTAGATCAATGATAGTTAAGTCTATCATTGCCCAATTAATTTAAGTAGAGGTGAATTCCCCTCAAGGTGTTAAAGCCCCACTTGTTCTCAGGCTCTGTTCTGTATCTGACAGGGTCAGTGACTAATGGCACTGGTTCTAGAAATACACCAACTCCTGTAAACAAAGAAGCCGAACAGCATTCACTAAAGTATCACCACCCATGAAAGGCTGATGGGATTGTACGAACGTTCAATCAGTTAGACTTAAAGGCTTTGCTCTGACAGAGTTTGACACAATGAACTATTTAAGGTAGCTGTAAGAAACCCGCTTTGACAAAGAATGATTTGGGGCAAGAAGCATGCAGTGCTTGCTGAAGGAGACTCATCTGTTTATACAGAAAACAATTAAAGATATGCAAAACTGCTCTGAAAACAAGTGACAGGCTATGTAGGATGCCACAACTAGGATAGCCCATAGTTCAAAACAGCTTCTTAGTGGTTGGAAACTTTCAATTCCTGGCTCAACAACAGCACTCTGATGCTGGATGGACCAACGAGTTCCCAGTTTCTTCCTCTCCATGGAGAAATGCAGGCCCTTTGCTGCTGCAACTGCTGAGCTGATTTCTGCTTCTCATGGAAGGAAACCTTCCCATGCTGAGAGCAGTAGGAACCAAGAAAGACAAGCAAAGATACATTTTTGCTCAGTATATAAACATGGCAAGAACGAAACGCAAGTGAACAGTAAATTTATACTGGATACATTTTGTATTTATAGATGAAGAAGCAAGACAGGCTTATTTTGTTTAACCACGAAGCACAATTATGAGATACTGTTAAAATATTTAACAAATATATACAGGTTTTATGTAATAAAATATTTCCTCTCAAAACTGGGTCTAAGCCATCAGAAACAGCTCCTTCTTCAACAGTGTTCATAACTGACACTGAAAATGGTATTCCCACTGCTCTACTGGTTGAACTAGTTAGTTGAACTAAACATCTCTTGCAGCAAAAGTGCTGGGCATCCACTTAGACACAATGTTCTACTACCGTGCGGTTGTTGCTACAGCTCTTGTCAAAAGATTCATTTGGTTTTGGATAATAGTGCATAAAGACAAAACAAAGATTAGGAAGGTATCTTCTTCCAAAGAGCTTTCAGAAAAAGTTGGAAAAAAAACGGAGATAATTCAATGAAGTAATTCACATAATCATGACCGACAGACCAGCTGTTAAGATTTTTAGAAGACAGCAGAAGAATTAGACTCGATTTCACGCACAGCTTGAAAAGGTCAACTCACAGAAGCTGGGCTGCTTAGAAATTTATCAGGGAAGTCAAATGTAGTCAGATAAAAATAGTTTTCAATGACCAACATAATTTAAAAGTAGATCCTGTGAAGTAATTCGGTAAACTTGCTGCAAAATACAGATTCAACCCCAGCACATTTCCATGAAAGTCACTGGGCAAAAGTGAAAGTGAAGGATTTTTTTATTTTTTATTTCCCATGCAATCCCTCCCTTCTAGATCACACACTAGGTTATTTTTGCACTGAACTTTAAAAGGAAGCAAGTTATAATAAAAGTGCCTGCTGTGAAATTTGTACACAAAGTAAAAATAAAACTAAAATAACTAAAAATATTATGGCGTGCAGTCTGGAAAGAACATTTAAAGAAAGGGGAAAAAAAAGATCAGTGGAACTGCTGGTTGTGGAGGGCATCAACAAAACACAACAGGCTAGTGCATGCAAATGTTATCAGACTACATCTAATATCCTCATAGGTTGTTTTACGCAGCACTGAGAGAGAAGTTGTAAGACTAGACAGACCATCAGGCAAAGTACACACAAATTTGGTTATACCATGTCTGGACCTGCACGGAGCCTGCATTAGGCTTCCCAGTGCTCCCAATTCTGATGTAACCATGAACAAGATCAACTTGCACGCCTCTAGGGCCACAGCAATATTCATCCATCTACTGAATATCCCATCCTTGTATCATTAAGAGTTTAGCTCACTACAAATTTGGCTTTCTGTAGGTAACTTGCTGATAGCCCAAGTCATAATTTTCCTAATGCAGTCTCCATTACCAGCATTTTTCAGATGCTGGGCTGTGCCTTCCTAGGACAGTAAAAAAGCTCCTGGAAAAAAGAAAGATTAGAAAGTATAGACTCAACTCCATGTCAGAAGAGCCTAATTTATTCAGGTCATTATTTAAGCTAGTTGTGATTCACAAGGAGAACAGCGTGGACAGTACAGGTCACTAAGGAGAGGGGCATAAGGCAAAACGTTGGGATATGCTTCTCAGTATGACTTTTAAGCACGCAGAAGATTAGCTCACTCTCTCAGACAGAGCAGGTAAATGGGTATTATATGCTCAATACACCCTCTACAATTTCAAATATTCCAGGAAATGTCATGGTCAAGAAAGTTTCATGACAATGCCATTGTCATTTCAATTAACTATGTAATTCTTATGCGGTAAATAAATGAAAATCTCAGGAACAATTCATCAAAATCTATGCCTTTACATGTGATTCACCAATCAAAGGCAAAAAGCCACTATCAGTCTACACCTGGAAATGTAACAACCTGAATCCACAGGTCTAACAGACTGAGTTAACACATTTATATTTTTTTCTGAAACAAAAGCTTCAAGGTCATCACAATGAAAAAGTTTGACATACGTATATAGTTTTTCAAAATGGATGGAAGACCTTCTTCAGCTAAAATTCTGATACACAGGCTGAATGCCGTCTTTGATCCATTTGACCATTCCATCTCAAAGTGTATCCCATTAGCTGCTAAATTAATCTCTCACATTTACCTTTTTTATTTGGGTTTCTTCCACTCATTTTTTCCACCTGAGAAATGGCTTCTTCCCAGCAGCTGTTGCTCGCCTGGATATGAGGCTGAATAAACTTTAGTTTTTGTTCCAGAACCTGATGGGCTTCTGTTGTCAACTCAGGTGTCTCCTTAGTGCTAACAAGTTTTTCAAGTTCATCCTCAAGAATTATTACCCTAAGTGATGAGGAGATGAACAGAAATAAGAAAAAATATTTTACTTCACCATTCCATCAATTATTTCATTTAATATCCTGTTATTTTCTTCAAGTTTTAAGAATCTAATTCAGCCAACTCCTCAAAGATTTTAAAAATAAGATCCTTTTCTCCACATCAAGATACATCGCTCACCTGCATTCATTATAGTAATTCTTATATGTAAGATTAAAGGAATAGGGCAGTTTCAACTCTTTCACCAAGGCAGTGACAAATCTTTAGAAATATTTACTAGGTAGTTTCTATGAGCTGAACTTCCTTATAAAGCATTTGGTATGTTGCAAAATCAATGAAAGCTAAGTATGTTTTCAGATTTTTTCAAGGGAGTGACAAAAGCAAGGCAAGATCTTAATGCACTGCTTAGCTTTGAATTTTCACCAGATACTTAAAGAATAATCAGGAAACAATACCAGATTCCATATTGAACCAGGAATCTTTGACCCTGTACTACGGCAAAGATATGCCTATGATTGCAATGACTATACGTATCTGCCTTTTTTGTTTTTAATCTGGGATACCAGCTGACAACCCAAAGAACTCGAGTCTGAAGCCTTCTTCCTACAGGCATATTCTCTTAATTCATGTGTAAACTTACTCATTGAGCAGTGCCTTGAGATGAAGCTGCAAGCTGCGTACCGCTGTCTGAAGACTGTTCAGCTCTCTTGACTTCTGCTTTGTTCTGGTTGGCCGTTCAAAACCCGACTGATGTTGAGTTTCAAAGTACCGATAAAACTCATAGCTTCGCTTAAGCTCCTCTAAGCAGGCAGCATGTGTATGAGGTAGGCCTTGAGTCACATCAGACAAGATATGATGAGGCAGTCGTTCAGGGGAGACCAAGGGCTTGGGGGATGCATTGGCTGGGGAGAGGAGCAGCACCAGCCTCCTGAAGAATTCTGAACTCTGCCCTACCCAGAGCTGAAAGAGGACCTGCAAAACAGGGTAGGATTAGCTCTGTGCACCTGGGAAGACAGCCAGCCTCCAAAGTAAATGTACACACACACCATGGGAAAACATTCCTCAGCCAGCAACAGGAACTCTGAAAAACTGAAAGTCCGCTGAATGTTTTTGAAGGATATCCCAGACCATGTGAGGTTCAGATCTCAGGAACCTTAGGTGACTGTTAATTCTTTGGGGAAGGATATTATATGCAATTATGCTCAGAAGGTTGTCAGAGGCCTAAAAACTCATATTCTCATCAGGCAGTTTCATTATTTGCTATAATCTCCACATACCCTACAGCTCATGTCGGGCTGCCAAAATTCCAGTGGCAGCAAAGACATTTTTTCCTTTATAATGCCAAGCTATCATTTCTACGATCTACTAACTCCTGCACTGCCCCACACCCAACCTTGAAACACGAGCCTAATTGCACTGTACTTCAACAAAACACATTCTACATCTGAAAAAAGCTGAGCTGCTAACTGAATTTTTTTTCGGTCAAAGTAAGAAATTTCACCAATACCACTAAGGAGGGAAAGGCTTGTAAGAAATGAATCAATTCACAATGTTATATATGGTACAAAAGAGGTCAGTCCATCTGGGAGCAAGGAAATGCACAATTTCAATTTCTTGAGAACTTCCACTTCCAATGACATGAAATGAACTGTTGTCTTTGTTTAGAGAAGACTGTTGGCTCAGCAGACCATCACAGAACAGTAGCATCTCATATCTCTAAAATGAAAAGGAAAGGTTCTGACACTTTTCCCTGCAATGCTGGCCCTTATTACAAGGGATCAACTGTAGGCGACTATCAGGTGTAGTCTGAAATCTGTTCTCAAGCATTCCACACCGAGGAAGACAAAGTAATTACTCATCATGCTTTTTTCCACCCCCCTCAGCTACAGAATAGGACTAACAATTTACTTGCTCTGAGATTTTGGATCTACAGGATTTGAAAGAATAGATTTACATCTTTGTATTCATACTACCATGGACAAGTAGCAGTTTTTTCCAGTGTGCAATCAAGAGCAAAACATTCAGAATAGTAACACAAAAAATTAAATGCCTTCAGATAGATGTGGTCTGATAAACCCCAAGGGCATATCAAAAATATTTGGATGCAAACTGATAAAATATTCCAAAAGAAAAAGAAATTCTCAATTTACAAAAGGTGGTTATGAGAAGAAAGAACACAATGATATGAAACTAATTTTGGGCACACATGCAAGACTGATTTGGCTGGGTGCTAAAAAAAAAGCAAACAAATGGGCAGCAATCACCCAAGTGTCCCTGTAGGTGTGCTGCCCTAGACAGAAAGTCAAGAGCTCATGCTATAGTGAGCACAAAAGAAGACCAATCCCTTCCACCAGACATAAGGCAAAAGCAGCGAAACCGCAGCACACAAAAGTAGTGGACTTCAGGAATTTACAATAATAATCCAAAACCTACCTGAAATAAGGCACAACAATGAGAGAAAAGGAAATTCCAGATGTATTTAGGGTTGCAAATAGCTTGGTTTGCCAATGACTTCTGATGATTTCTACTGACACTTAAACTTCACCCAAAACATCCAGCTGGCTCTCCTCAGCTTGAATCAGTATTTTTTCTTAAGCCAAAAATTTTCACTCTTTAAATTGGTTTAGTTCAAGGACAAGGTAGCCAAAAGACACAGGCTACATTTGTCATATGGCCTAGACATGGGCTTGAATGAAAATTAAAATATTAACCAAATCTGGATATACGTCTGTTTTCTACGTGCATTTTAATATAAAGACAAGTTCTCTCAAATGAAAAAAAACGAAGAGGACTGCACATAAATCTAGGCCTCACAACACAAATATGTCGCAAGGTTACCAAAGTATATCTGTTTTATTATCTACGCAGGAATGTGCTTAGGACTGATTTATGTTAATTTGGCTTAGTTCAACTACACCACACCCAGCCTACATCACTGTCTGTTTTCAGTTAACGTAAAGGGAGATTTACTAGTTGTGAGCTTAACTGTACCCAGAAAGCATCCCACCAGTTTAACTAAAACAGATTTCAGTTAAATTACTGCAAATTGCAGGTAAACAAAGACTTAGCTTACAAGCTTGGGCACCTCTAACTAGCGTCTTGTGCTTAAAAAGAAGTGGGTAAATAAGTGGGCTTGCATGGTTGCAATTAGAACTTCAGCTAATGAAAAGGCGAGAAAAAAATCCCCAAAGCTTACACCTGGTGTAGCTCTTAGCTTACAACTAATTAGACAAAGCCTCAAAGCTTAGCAATCAGTATTACTGGTAACATTTACTGTCAGAACAAAATAAGTCAAGGTCTAGGAATTAAGTGAATAAGATGCAACAAGAGCCAACCCCATAGAAACAGAGAAGTCACATAATAATGGAGTTTTCCATTTAAAAAACAGTGTTAAAAGGGAACTGCCTCAGCAGAGAACCACTAGAGTGTAGAGGGCTTGCATTCAAATTAGATCTTCTTTCCAAATGCAAACATTGACTCATGAAAATTAAAAATACTGAACATCTCAAAACAAAATAGATAAAAAGGCCATTATATGGTTGTCATTCTGTTCAGTTAAATGTTTTTCAAAGATCAAAGAGCCACACTGGCTCACGGCAGCAGGGGTCCAAGCTTATGATTTCTACTCCTCAGTGTAACTAAATGCAACTATTCCCTTTGGCAATTACAACTAATTTATATCTTCTGATGTCTCTCTTTTTATTTAAGTCAAGAGATTAGCTAAAAAAAGATGTAAGTACAAATCTGGAAATTGTTTTATACAGCTGGGATCAAGTGAAATCAGAGAGCAAAAAATCATGTTTAAGAAGGAGATTGATCAAGCTGATTATAAAACACTGACTTGAATTTACATGATTTGCAGAAAAAAAATCCAAGTGTTGTATTAAGCAACTTCTCTTCAACTACATGCAAAATGAAATCACCTAAATGCTAATAAGTGTAGAAACACGAGACTGATTACATCTCCCTCTCAGTTGACCGTGATACTACAGGCTAGTAGGTACAAGCCAGAAGGCTTCATGACAACTGAAAGAGATTTTCACCAGGAGCCTGCATGGATGCATGTGTCCTTCTAGGAGAGGTTACCTTGAGTGCAGGCAAGCTGAAGCCATCGGTTAGATTGTGTGCCTCCTCTTCAGAGACCTGCTCTTCGCTCAGTCCCAGACCCAGCTCCTTAAAGGGGACTACACAGATGTAGCTGGTCACGTTGTCACTCTCCGAGTTCAAAGGGTAGGTTTAGCTGGAGTTAAGGTGGTTAACAAAGCAACTTTTGCATTAAACATACAGAAAAGGTTTCTTATTTCTGGCAATTTGTACGAAAGCACATACATTCCACCCAAATCCACCTGAATCCTGTTTAACTGAAAGTTTTGCAATCCTTATTCAGAGCACAAGTTTTAAAGGCTCTCAGGAGGATGAGAGGTAAGACATTGACAAAACACCTATGTCTAAATACAAACACATAAAAAGAAACAAAACAGATTGATGAAAAATCCCTGCATCCCTTTCAAGTGAGGAAAATAGCTTATCTTTAAATATTAAGTTTCCAAAAAGTAGCTCATGTCAATCTTAAACCAGAAATCATATATTTGACAGAGGAAAAAAGAGAACAATTGTGCAATTTGAAGTCTCTAAGGTAGCCTATGTTATAGACCAGACTCAAGATGACAGGAATTCCTGCGAGTTCTGTCTGTGGAGGGACCGCTCAGAGATCTCTACAAGAACTGCTCTTTGACATTTCAAGATAGCACTGTGAAGAACAGCAGCTCCCCGATTGTCATGCCATTAATTTTATTGATTACATTGCTGTAAAGCCACCATGATCTTGGTAGGAACAGCAGCGAACTGTTATCTGTCAACACTATTCAGCACATTTAAATTCTGAGTCGGAAAATGTACATTTCCAGTCCTCAGAATTGCTTAAAAAGTAGGAAGCAAGCACAATATAACTGATACCAGATAAAAGACAGATAAAAATAATTCATGGACTAGGCAACATTTATTAAAATAGCACTAATTTTAGGCTAACCTCATGCTGGGGAAGGAAGAGGAGGAACAGTTCAAGATTTCTGCACATTTTGGATAGTTACCCAGTCACAAAATAGTAAAATTTGCTTTAACACTGAAATTTACAACTTATGGTCATAAGGACATTTGTTCCACAGAAATACATATACAAAAAAAGTATTCGTAAAGCATTTATGAAAATAAGGCCTTAATTTAAACTATGTTTTTTTTAAATTTATATTTCGATTTACCAACTGAATGCTCTCATCTCTTGGGGCACACAAAGCCAATTAGAAGCACTTGTCTCTTGTCCAACTACTGTGTTTTCTGGGGAAGCCACAAGTTCCACCCACTTTCACTCCCAAATTTTCCACGTGCTAAATTCTCATAGGATTGAACGTGTAAAAGTGATTTGCTCAAGAAAATTTTTACCGCTTGAGTAGAAGCACATTGCATAAAAAAAATAACATTCTGTGTCCCAGGAAACAGCAATGCTAAGTGTCCAGGCTCTAAACAAACAAATACATTTCTCCCTAATTTCTCCCCAAAGTCCAGGGAGAAAGAAGCCTATTAAGTGTTCAGACAAAAACTTGCAATGCAGATTAATTAGGAACAGAATATTATTGTTGCCACCAGCAGCTGCTTCACATAAATGGTGTCTATTCTAAGTTAACCTGATAGCATGCCCAGCAGATGGAGCACATGGGATGAGGATGGTAACTCTATCAGAGGTTGAAAAGTCAGGTCAAAACCCTTCAGGACTGGTTATCTCAAAGACTAATTACATTCTTTGTTAAACTTTTCCTGCAACAAGACATTTCCAACAGCATGAGCACCATAAAAAGGAGTTCGGACACACGTGAATTTCTAAGTCGCACTAAAAAAAAATTCCAGGCAACATTTCAAACAAGTGGTTTGACCAAACAAGCCACTTATCCATACTATGTCTCAGCTAGGGATTCCCAGTGGACTCCCGCACCTCCTGCCTTGCCCTCCGCTCTTGTAGCACTCCCATTTCTATGTGACAGATGAAAGCAGAGAACTGATCCCGTGCCCCTATTAGCTTCCTAAAGACTAAACCTTTAGAAAGTTTAAACACATACACACAAACATATACATATACATAAACATATACATATACACGAACACACTTCCTTCATGCACTTTGCTCTAAAACACAAGTATTTTTAGTGCTAATGTTTTCTATTAAAGCCAAAATACAGTAACTAACTTTAGGTTAGCTAAGTTTTTCTATGTCTTTGTGAAAATATTTCATTCACCTGTTTAACTTACATTCCTTATTAGCTTGGAAGAAGAGAAGGCAAAGCTACTTAATAATAAACTGTCAAATCCAGAATAAAATATCCGTACAGTGAATGTCTAACCTCTGTCAGGAGGCCTATCTTATTTACCTATAGAAAAGCAAGAACACTCATGTACCCCTGTACGTAACAATTTAGTATTCATACTTTGCTTTTCAAAAGCACGTTCCCATCTGAAGATCTAACAGGAGGGCCTCACAATAACCCTGAGAAATCCAAGCTGCTCTTTGATAAAATTCTCACCTGCTCACCAGGCGGGAAGGGATGAGCTAATGATGAACATGATGAACTGGCTGGTCAAGGAAGAAACACGGCACTGAAAAATGCCCAAGTATCTTCACTCAGACCTTCTAGCATCGGATTTCTGGTTTAGGCTTTTATGACCCAAAGAGGGTACTACTTTTTGTTTAGCTTACTGTTTTCTTGTGTGAGCTTTCTCTTTCCCAAGTAATAAAGGTATGTGTTTTTCTAACATTTCATGATGCAATAACTAAATATTTACAGAGGAGAAGGAACAATTTTTTACTAGATTTACTACAGGAAATTTGCAAGTTTCCCTGAGGTCAGTGCATCTCAAAGACATAGAGTGCATCTTATATCCATTCCACCTTAATGGGTTAAGATATCACTCAGTTTAAAATACTGTTATCCAATGTCTGTTTTTATAACACTATTTATGCCTTGCCATCAGAGAATGACACCTTACACTTACAACAAAATTAAAGTTTTATCAGTTTCTACGGTCCTACCTCCAGATCCTGCCTATCAATATAGTTCAATGGAAATGGAGTATCACACCATTTTGCACCAGCTGAGGATGAGACTATTAAAAACATCCAGTAACATAAGCCACAAAATTCTCTCCGTCCAGCTTGCCTATAATTAAATCAGTGAATAAACCATAGATTCCCATGACGCAAAACCCACAAGGCTCTTAAGTATAAAAATATTAAGCAATTAGCACGCCAGCGAAGTATTGCCTGAGTTATTACTCAATTCAATGGAGCATAGTGCAGAGATTTGTTGAACTAGTAGTGACTGGTCTGCACAGCATCCTGTAAATACTTAACCCAAAATGCCTAATTTCTAGTTTAAGCTTTCAGCCATTGCATCCTGCTATACCCTTATCTTCCAGACTAAAAAAGAAATACTCTTTTCTTTTCTCCCTTCTGACTTTTTCTTCTATGATTTTGAGCAATGCACTCTTGCCGACATGAACAAATCAGAATAAGAATGGCATGAGAAAATGCTGAATTGTTTCTGCAAGTGCCCAACTGTCCCTTCACATAAAATGTAAGGAATATGACTTTCCATCTCATTAAACTACTGGTCCACCAAGTTCGATACAAATGCCTGGTATAAGGCTAAAGTATAATTGTATATTTTTTCTGTTTTACATGGGAACAAATTTTAATCAGGACAGTATTAATTTATTCTACTCACTGAAAGCTAAAAGTCTTGCTAAAAGGGGGCACACTAGCCACAAGCAAATATTGCTAAACTTCTAGTTTTATTGAAGTGAGTAATGATAATATATCAAGTTTATGCAATTTGTATTGCCATGAATAAAACTGTGAATTAAGATTTTTAATTCTCTGTAACAGGTTCATCACACAGATCTCCCTCTGACACATTTGAGATATACATTAACATAAAATCCTAATTTGCTGCAGATATTTGGGTAGGAGAAATAATACTGATGGCTATAAAATCTACACTTAATGGATTAGCATAGATCAATATATCCCTTAACATTTAAGATGTTTTTACTAATTTATTTTTACTTAGTCACTCATTTCTGTCTACAATTAAGATTAATACTTAGATTAGCCAGTGTTTAAGACTCAGCCCAATAGTTACCAGCTCAGCCCCTCAAGAATATTTTCTTGTCTCTCTTGAAGTTATAACATAAAACAAGTGGCTTAAGTTCAAAGCAGTTTCCCTTAGGCTTCCAACAGGATTAGTCCTACTGATTCAAAGTATGAATTTGATACTTATCTCAGAAATAATCACATACATTAAAGTATATGTTTAGCAACCTACTTAAGATTACTAACAAAAAAATCTCTCAAGGCGGTGGTAAAATACAGCAACGCTAAGCTTCGCAGTTTGCATTTGTTGACAAAATGAGATAAAATCTATAAATGTTTTTAAGATTAAACATTTCTCTATTTTACTGTATAGTTTTAAAGGTCTAGACTTAAAACAATATAAGTATGCAAATTCATAGTAGAATTTCGCTCAAACATATGTCTGTACAGCATCATTCACTGAAATGACTTTTTCTGGGAAAAAAATAACCTATTGAAACAGATTTTGCTTATTTCTGAACACTTTTTTGACTTAACATTATATACATGCAACCAGTCTTAGAAAACAGTTCCTATAAGAGGCTGTTCGGCTGATTTTGTTAAGCACATATAAATGCATATTTTCAAAGTAGAGAAAATTATCCGTCCTTATTAAGCCATAAATGAGTAAATTGGTCTTATTGCAAATTATTTTTGAAAGGGATATTCTGACATAGTAAACTTGAAATATAATTCAGCTACAGACATTTCTAGTAAGTTCTAAATATGTATGTATGTTTTAAATGAAAGCTTAAATCAAAGTATACCTTTTACTACATTAGTAAATTTAATACCATTTTCTACAATACTTTAACCATTATGTCTAATAATAGACATGTCTCAGTTCAAGACATGTTTACCATAGCCTTAGGGCAACAATTATCTTCACTGCATTATAAAGTTCAATCTCAGATTTTGAGGTTTATTATAAGAAACACAAGGATGAAGGAATATAGGACATACTTTACATTATCATCCTTTTGTAGGCCTGTATACCACTCAGAAGGCCCAGTCACAGACTAGGACCTTATTTTGATAACTGGACATCATGCAGAAAGGATCTCTGGAGTCAAAGGCTCACCACTGTTGTTGAATGACAAGTACCATGCCCACGTTGCAGTATCAACTGAATACCGTCAGCCAAGGAAAGCAAACTGTAATATGGAAGTTTATTTCCCATTGATACATGCACATAAATGTTTCCATGAAATGCACACTCTGTGGTTCAAAGCAGTGCCTGTCCTATGCATTTGCTCACACTCTTAAGAAATTACTACTTCCTTATTCTTCAAAGAGAAAAATCGCCCTGAAGAATGATCAGCCATCAGTTAAAAGGGAACTAAGATTTGATCTTTAGTGTATTAGCTGGGAAGATTCAATTTTTGTTGCCCTTGAGACTAGGAGGTGTTTCGCATATTAAATTGCTATTGAAAAATCATTCCAACCAAAAATAATTCAGTTTTTCACTTGCCTAAATACAGAGATACATCTGCTCTGCAACAAAAATACAAAGCAATATCCAGTAAAACAAAAAATGTTTATTTAAAAAGTATTATGACTAACCAGGGAAAATAGGTTTTGGGGTTTTTTAATGTTATTTGGTAATATTAATCCAAATTTTAAGTATTTCAAATGTTTCTCTAATATCTTGTTCTCTGATAAAAGCAGTTTGTTTTGCTGCTGCCAGTGTAAATCACTAATAGTGCTACTGGATTCATGTCTCTCACAATGCTCAGAAAAAGCAAATTTCAAATAACAATTCATTAATTCATACTCAAATAACCTAGAGGAGTTAAAGTCGAGAACATCTTCTGATTTTGTACAAAGCAGACTTACTAAGAAGAACTGTAAAAGTCAGAACTGGGATCTCATTTCCAGACATTGGATGGAAGTTTCTTTCCTTTAATTTGTCAACATTCCTTTCCTTCAATTTATCTCCTCACTCCTTTATTTAATCTCTCCAGTTCCTCTTTCTCCTTGCTGTAGGCCAGATTTGTGCTAACGTTCTGATGACGGACAAGGGCATTAAAGTTGTCACAAGTGGCAGCTGTGAATGCTTTCGACATGAAGGAATCTTTGGCCCCTCCAGCGTAAGAGTACTATTTCATTGCACAAGGCACTGGAATCTATTTGAAAGATGCTCCTTGCCATCCATACCCATGTAATACACATAACATTTTCAGGCATTCATGATACGCAGGGAAAAATTCAAAATAAGGCAACTTGGAACGACCTTAAAGCTGCTCTTAATTATCCTGGTGGGGAGAAGGAATCCTTTACTCACCTTCCTTACATTTAAATTCCTTACTTTCAGTTTTCATGCATTGCAGAACTGGTCCAGCCTGCATCTCAGCTCACACCACCATTTTTGCCACTACGTTCTGCACGAATATAATGCTTCTCTTTCCATTTGTCAAGAAGCTATCTATATACACGCAACTTCAATAAATATTTGGCCATTTATTTCTGCTAGCCCTTACTACTGTGATATCTGCATGACAATTTGGTATAATGGAACTTCCATATTAAACATTTTTCAAAGACAGGTATAAATGTGAAGTTATCCAAAGTAAACAAAATTTTCTGCTCTCCCATTCCTTAATTTAAAAGCCATTCCTTAAGTTTAGTAGTTACAAAACTAGTGGACAGTCTAATACACACCAGTATTCCTTGAACCTGTACTTCCCCAGCCGCAGCAACAATCTACACACCTGTCATAACCACAGCTGGACTGACTTTCTTCATGCTGGAGGATATTTGGGAAGGCCATGTTAACTGATCATATTTTCAGATCTCTCTTCCCATGTTCTTAGAAGTGATTCTTGATAATTTCCAAGCTAGCTATCAGTTGCTATCATTATCAACATGTCTGAACCAGTCAGAGTATTTTTTTCTTTCTTTACGTAGCAAATACACCTTATTCCTCAGAGCTAAAAGTGAAGTCTTGAGCCCAGAATGAGGATGCCTATCCCTCCACAAGTTATTATTTTGAAAAGAAATACTCATTTCCTTCAAAGTGAATGCATGCACTCGTAGCTTTGTGTGTGCCTGTGTGTGTGTACATGTCATCACTCAATATATCCATCCATTTACCAGGCAAGATACATTAGTCAAATATTATGTTCCAGGAAGACAAAACAAGTTATTTGTCCTGTCAGATTTTCAACACTCACGTTACCACCAGCTTGTGTTACCCTGCATGTGTTTTTTCAGATCAGGAACATATCTGTTTTATTTTTTGCTATAACACAGGGTGAAGACATTGTTATTTCCTATATAGTACAGTGAGTACAACAAACACAGAAAAAACCCTTGAAATGTTAATGCCATTAAAAAAAGTATACGATTCACCAAAGAAATACAGATGACACTTCACAAAATGGATCCGAACAAAGTGTTCTGCTCTGATTCAGAGCAGAAACTCCTCGCTCTTAAATGTGCCTTTTGGCTAATTAATGTAATCGGAGTTTCACCCAGCTTGTCTGGAACAGGAAATCAACTTCCCTTTGAACACGGGGATGTTGAGTGAAAGGCCACATTGTTCAGAGAAGAGGGTATTTTGGTGCAAGGGAAAAAGATGGCTAAGAGAAATTATAAAACAAAATCCTGAAGGACTCTGAAACATGTTATTGGTACGAACACCAAAGGCATGAGTGTCAGTAACTGGGACAATGTTTTCAGTGCACAGAATCTTACCTCACACCGCACAGTACACAAAAAGACAAAAAATTTAAGAATGTTCCAAACCAAGCATAAGCCCCAATTTACTATGCTACCTTTTCTTTATCTTGTTTAGGTATGTAATTAGATGTTGTATGTTTCCAGACATGCTAACTCTAAACATTGGCACAATTACAGGTAGGTAACATGGAATACCTGAACTCGTGGGTTTTTACAAAAAAGGATATTTTTTCAGCATGTATAGAGTAGCCAGTCTTGAAGCTCGAAAGTTGGCTCTGACAGATCGATAAACGGCTTTCCGGAGACCAATAAGATGCTGACTAGGATGCTGTCCAGCTTTATTAAATGGGCAAGCGGCACTGACCCTGTCAAGCAAACTTGAAAAGTAAAATGTGATACAACTGTACAGATGTCCTAAAGTATTTTTAAAAGACAGTACATCAGTTTTCTTATTCCATTACTTAGCAAAACTTTTTCAAACCACTCAGTAACTATGACAGGAAAAAAAAATCCATCATATCAATGATAGATTTAATCAATATTTCAGATAAGCAGCCAGGATTCCTCAGTAGATAGCCTGATTCTAGTCTCATCTGAGCCACGGCAAAACTCCTGAGGACAGTTGTTTTCTCCAAAGTTTTCCAAAACGATACACTAAGGGTAGACAGGCTGTAACGTTATCTCTGATACAAAACTATCACAAGCCCACTGTAAGCTTTGGAAGTTTTAACACACAGATATTCAACATATACCTCTTTATATGCAAATTTGTTCTTTAAATAATTTTTGCAGAAAAAATGTGCCACTACGTATTGTTTTTCAGGCAAAACACTATATTCTTTCAACCTTCTCCATACAGAATCTTCTCTATGTCAACAGAAATATTATCTGAGTGGTGACATAGATTTTATCATCATGCAATGAATTGCAGCTGTGTTTGTGGGAGTCTGACAGGTAAACACATGAAATGTATGCACCTATACAGGCATATTTGAAAATGTATTTTGGTGTCCACATATTCAAGTGAATATACCATTTAAAAGAAACTGTGCCATTTGCCTATTAGAATATACTTCAGAATGGCTTTAGAACTATAAGAAATTGCCTCATCTGGAAATAAACTGAATTGTGAACTGGGTGAACATTAAACATGTCTGTGTAACATTAAGCTGTAGAAAAGGAAAAAAAGATTAATATCCAGTTATATCTATTCATATACAGTCTGATGCCAAATCTGTGACAGAGACACTGGAAATAGTCTAGGTGCGCTCTACATGCTGGGACTTTTTTTACTAGAATCAACTCAGGAATGGACGTAGTGCGGACAACAGGACGATGAATTGTGATGAATTGTTTGGGGACTGGAAACCTGCTTCTGCTCTCACCTTTCCCAGGGCACGGTGAGGAGGTGATTTCATGTCCGCAGTCACTTAAAAGGGAAAAGCATACGGGAAACCTGGCAAGAGTGCGGTGGGTTGCTGCATTGGTAACTATTTCTGTAGCCCATCTGACTGAAGAGCTGACTAAGCCAGCAGACCTGACCCCGCTGGAAAAATTTCAGCCCTACTGCATGTGCTTAGCACATTGACCAGGAGGGGAAATAGCTTATCGCCTTCACTGGCAAATACAAAAAGCAATGCAGCCCACCCAGTGAGCAAGGCTGGACCCATATCTGTATGTTAAATATGATTAACACAAGGAGATTCATGCCAAATACTTCAGTGTATTGAATACGCTAGCTGAAATACCATATTAAAATATCTGCGTACCATATTAAATTACGTGAGTAATATTAAAATGGTTTATGTAACATCTCAAAGTACTTTAAAATCTGAATAAAATAAAACCAAGCTGTGTTAATTTCAATTCCTAAACGTGAATTTAAAATGCTAGTCTTGCCATACGTTTCGTTAGGGAACACAGCATGTAATGTACTACGTGCCAATCTCTAACGTTTCCCTAGCTTTTGAAGGTAACAACTGGAAGTGTTTATGGATAAACTCTTACATCAGTTTGTTGACTCAAGCCCTGGGTGAATTGTCAGAAGCAGGCTCAAAGAAAAGGAGTAAAATTCTTCTACCATAAAAAAGAGATCTATGTTCTGCTACAGCGATGTAAGCATTTCCAGCTCCTATACAGAACAAATATAGCACAACTCGTGCACAGCGTGTACTGCCAGTATTCAGCAAAACAATTTGCTTTCCTTCTGGGAAGGCTTGTTTCAGTGTTTTCTTCTTTATTCCAGTAATCTTAAATTAGTATAACTTGCTATAAATGTCTGTGTGCCAGACATGCCATATCCCTAACCTCCTAATGTTCCATTTATCTTCTATATATTTTAATTGGACTTACAAAATGTTATCAGCTTTGCATATCAGCCACAAATAGCACGAAGAAAAAAAGGTTAAGGGTGAATTTCCTCTTCCTACTACTCCAAACCCATTTTACTTATAAAGAACAGTGACTTATTTCTCCATTAATCTTACAAGCCAAATTTTAAATAGGCTCTCAACTTCTAACAAACTTGTACAAACACATTAATAAAAACCTATGACTGCACTCCAACATGAAAGCAGTTCTACAAAGATGCTCTATACACCAATACATGCTTGTAGAGCTTGCTTCCAGTTTAAAATATAGTAGAAAGGGAGCATTTTGGAGAAAAGCCAATTATTTCAGTGACAGACAAGGAAATAACTACTTGCTGCTTATTGCTGCAGCCTTTCATTATGTATTCCTACAGTTTTCATTTTATAATGTGCAAGACAATGGACATACTTTCATTACCCAGTGGAAATTCCAGGCTGCAACCTGTGATCAGGCTTCATTTGTCTAACTGCAAATGAAGCAATTAGACAGAAATACTGCCATTCTGCCCGAGTAGAGCACTGCCCTACCTTGGCTACACAATTTCTGTAATCCAAACTACAGTGGTGAGGTCTCGGCCATCTCTGCATCACAGAGTTTGTACCACACAGACATACCTGAAATGCCAACAGCAGTGTTAAACACTTCTGAAAGCCATTCTGAAATCAGATTATCCAGTTGCCTTTGAGAGCAGCTAATATAAGAGAGGCCTGACAGGGTTCTTAGTTCCTTTTCTAAATGGCTGCTGTGGGTTTTTTTGGGTGGGAGGGCAATGAAGGCAAAACAATGCTTGAATTGGTTAAGCATATAGCAGTCACTACCACACAGTAGTAAACCAGTGAACAACTGACCTAAACCTCATCAAGAATAATTTAACATTTACCGAGGCAATCAAATATCAATTAACAAGGGGCAAATAGGGTAGAATAAAGCAAACCCACAGATATTTCAAAGCGTATGTGAATTAGCCTATGATAACATAGCAATGGATGGTGCCATGGGGAGAAAAAAACAGCGGTGGAACGCAAGGAACTTCAGGTCAAAGCCACAGACCTGGGCTTGCCATATCAGAGCTTAGCTAAGTAGAGCTAGCCAAAATCTGAGCTCAGTACTATTTAAATGTCAGCTTCAGTATCTTTCCATTCACAGCATGGTTAATGCACAGTCCAAACTATGCTGAGCTAGCAGTAAAACAGCAGCATACATATTACTGAACAGAGTGCTGTGCTACCTGGTTGAAATCCCATTCCTTCAAGGATGTAAGATGACACGAGAAGATACTCGTTAACTTTTCAGCTGCAACCATTTCTATTGCCATGGGACTCTTTCTGAACAAGCATTAAGACTTTGACAAGGTGACTACAGGATAACATACTAAACTTTGTTCTGCTAAAGTTTATTGTAGCAAAATTGTGGAAGAAAAAAGGGATCATACATGAAGCGCTGTCTCAAGCAAAGAACTTCATGGTGCCCTGTGCAGCAGCATCTCTTGCGTATGTGGATGCAGAAAAGGACACTCTGTGGAGACAGAACTTCCTCCAGGCTAAACCAAACCAAAACCTGACTTCTTCATACTGGACAGTTGTTCCACTGAGGATGCTGGCACAGACTTCTCCCACTCCATCCATACTCCAAAGTCTTTTGAAAAGCTTGCCAAAGTTTTAAGTAAAGGGGCTATTAGATCAAGCATCAGCTTAAAGACCAGTCTGGTTTTTGTTAATCTGTTATCTAAGATATGTAGTAAAAGAACAAGGCACCAGCAATTTAGACATTGACCACAAGTTTGTTTGCTTAAACTTAGGAAAAAATCCAAATGTTTTTCTCATCTGTAATTTGGACAAGCCCTAACAATAATTTCTTTTAAGAACCCGTTTGCAAAGATAAGACTGCCTATTGCTTAACTATATGCTTCTTCAGCAAAAAAACAAACCAAAACAAAACACATAGCTAGGCAGACTGAAGACATGCTTATGCATTCCAAAGGGAGAATGAAACTTTTCTTCAGTGAAGCATACTGAAGGTATCTCAAGCTAGAAAATTAATTCAAAATGTTACGTTTACAGTTTCAAGCTTGCATGTAAAAACATGTGCCTGAGCGCAGAACAGTCGGTCTGGCACGAACAAACAATTTCTTGGTGCACACAAGGGAATATTTTATTGTTTTTCAAAAGAAGTTAACTGGATTTTAGCTGTTGGCATTTCCCACCTCCTTTAACCTTAAGTCTAACTGGCACAGGTACATATCTAACCGTGAGTTGTTACAACGGGAAAGCATACATAGCAATGAGAGTGCACAGAAGTGGGCCTGTTGGCTTTGGGATCCTTGCATAGACTGAACATGTTCTGATGTCCTTTCACATAGCAAATAAGCAAAAATTACCAAATAGCCACAAGAGCTAAATAACCAGGAACACTTTCACATCCCTTAAGTGGACGAGAGGCAAATTCAGCAGTAAATAATTTAGGAATCTAAACATCTCAACAATTGTATGCAAGAAAAAAGAATACTGTAAACTTTATTTGAGGTGGGAAATGACCTTTGATGCTCTTTGCTGATTGCTGTGTTCTCATTACTTCAGACTGCTATTTGTTAAATAGACTGGTTTTCATGTCATCTTCTTTTTCAAAGCATGAATGATTACTTGCAGGTCAGTTTATTTACATAGATTTGGTAATATAAGACACAAAAAACCCTCAGACAAACAACCCTCTAAATGACTTCCCAAAATAGTCAACTAAGTTGGTTCAAAATCCATTTCTTCATGTATTTCATTGCTAGCAGAGGAGGAGATTTCAAAGGCATATGAGTTTTGTAACACTTAGTTCTCCTTCAGGATGCAGGGTTTTAACACTGAATTGTTAGAATTCATACTTTTAATATGAATGGTAATTATACTATTTTATGTAAATGAAAAGCTTTAAGTATTATGTTTTTCAGTAATTCCACTTGTTACGGGAGACAGTGTAACAAGATAATTTTAGAAGACATCTGGCTTGAATGGATCTGTGTATTAAATAAAGTGAAATATAGACTCACAGGGTAAATCCTCTGGAAATTACTTCAGTCTCTTGAATGAGTCGTAGAGCTTTCCTCACGAGATTAGTAAAAGCTCGGCTATTCGCCACTGTTTCTTCCAGCTGGATACAGTATTTTCGCAGGGACATTTGCAGCTTGGCTGTCCTCCATGTGCCCCACACTCGAAGGACTGCGTAGACAAGCAGAACTAGTCCCCACAGCAGCCACGATGATTCCTTCCACCACGAAGGAAGCATAAGCAGTGCACTTACAAAGGCAAGCAACAGCGAGACATCCCTGCAGACAGAGAAAGTATCATCAACCACAGATTCCTGAGGTCAAACAAGTGGGAAAATCATGAAGCTCTAAGTTACATTTGAGATTACAACATCGTATTACAGAGCTTTTATGTAGGTCCTGAAGGGAGCTGTAAATGCTGAAAACTACTCCTAGTGGCAGATTTAGATGTATGTGTACATGATATTACTTGGTCAGTATACTCTAAGGAAACATTTGTCTGGCTTTACAGCATGAGTAAAAGAATAATGTACCACTTTCAAAGGTCAGTTTCTCTTACACATATGACTTAAAAAAAAAAAAAAAGAAAAGAAAATAGAAAAAGGAAAAAACCTGACTACTCAGCATTATAAGCCAGGGTGGGTAGGAACTGGAATATCTGTACTTCCAGGTTCAAGAGTACAGTAGGGAAGGGCATGTTTCTTTTGGTAACAAAACCCTCAAGCAGTGCCAGCTTTATTTTTTCCAGATTCTGACTCATTTAACTTGGACACCAACACACTGATAATTTTTAACACATTTTTATAAGGATGGCTTGAATAATCATTTAAAATAATTTGGCAGCTTTTGAAAATCCTTAAAGAACAGAGTTACTAGTATCTCGGTTCAGTTATTTCTCCAGGACATTTAAAAAACTCCATAAAGCTGTTACTTTCACCTAGAAAAAGTCAACAAAAATAAGTAACTGCCAGAAAACACACTGTGTTTCATATATAGTAGTATAGTTGCAGTTTTGTAAAATTATGACAGTCTTCACAGAGGTGGATGGGATATAGGCTTCAAGGTGCATAACAACTTTAATTTTTCAAAATTTTTTGAAAGAAAAATGTTCATTTTCTTCACCCCTTAAAGCTGCGTATCCTGTATTTAGTTTTGGAAGCATTCACAAGGAATATTTTCTCATTTCTAAAATAAGACATGATCTCTGGGTTTCTATTTTCTGGACAGTTTTGTGGTCATATTTCAACAAGCTTTACAAGTGTTAACTCTTCAGGGCTACCGATAGGTTTCAGTAAAGGTCCAGGGTTAAAATATTCCAGATATGTAATTAACTTTAAAAAGGGCAGACTCACAGTCTATAACTTCCTTGGTACATTAAAAAAAAATAAAAAATCACACACACAAAAAATTAATCACAATAATTCAAGACTGGAAGGGATTTAAGAGGTCACTTTGTCCATTTCCATTTTCTGGTTAATCCAGATCATCATGGACAGACTGAAGAAGAAAATGGAGACTACACATGCCACCCAGGTAGCTATTCCAACTCATAAGAATCCTTAGAGTTCAAAAGATTTCCCCCAAGTCCAGTCTGAATCACTGGCAAAATAATCACATTATTTTTCCCCATATCATTCCCTCTTCTAAACAAAATAAACAACAAATGATCACCACCTTCTTATTAACTACCTTCTACACATCGTAACACTGTTCCATCCCACCTCAATTTTCTCCATTCTGGCCAAACAATGCTAGCACACTCTAATGTTTCTGAAAGATTAAATTTTCTAAACTCATCATTCTTCTTATTCTGCTCTGGACTGTCTCTAAATTACCTATGCCTCTCCAAGTGTGGCATCCAAAACCAGATGCTGCAGTCTAACACAAGGCTTAGGGAAACAGACAGAAAAGTAAACCCCTGTGTCTTGCATATAACAAGGACACCAGGATGAGATTGACCATTTTTTGAATAATTTTCTGATGCATTCAAATTATGCTCTGCAACGACGTGCAGATCTTTTTCTGAAGTAGTACTGCCTACCCAATTATTCACCACTTTGTGTTTGTTAATTTGATTTTTCCTTCCCAAGTGCAGTATTAGACTTTTGTCTTTATTGACTTTTCTACTGATTTAAAAATATTTCTCCATGCTACTTTTGAAATCCATTCTGCCAAAACACTTACAAACTTGGCGTCATCTGTAAGCTGAGCAATATTCACGAATTTTGTGAAATTCACAAATTTTTACTTTATCATCTGAACCATTAAAGAAACAATGAATAGTCCTAGGACCAGGACAAACCACTGGGAAAATTTGGTTCAAAAGTTCTCTTGTTTGACAGACAGCATCAATAATGACATATTACAACTTAAACAGTTGGGTTTTTTAACCTGTTGCAGCTTTATAATAATTTTATCTATTTTCCTAACATACGCATGAAAACATAGCACTGGGCTGTGTTGTAAGATATTTTTATCTACTGATTCCTCTCCATTTCTGAGCAAGTCACTCTGTCAGAACACACACCATCCTTGTTATTTGTCAAATACAGCTGGTAGCTGTTCAGACGCTGCTGCGGCTAGTTCCTTCAGTATTCTAGGGTGAATTTCACCAGTCTCAGCTGACTTGAATGCATCTTATTTAAATATTCTTTAGTCTGTTCTTCTGGTATTCTACATCTGAAAATTAATTGCACACACTCCCCCAACATATTTTATGAAGACCGCAGCAAAGAAAACACTTTGCAATTCAGTCTTCACAATCATGTCTCATTTATCAAAATCACCATTGTATAGCTTTAGAAGTTCATGAATTAATCAACCATGTTAGTTCTTCTTTACAGTACATATTAGGGTTTGGAAGTATCCATTCATGTTCATGCAGCTATCTCAGATTAAAACTCACTCTTTCAATAAAATGCGTGAGGGAAAAAACACGCTCATACAAAAATTTGGGGACTAGTGGACCAAAGACTCAAAGACCTGAGAAAAAAAGTAGTTACTTTATTGCTGCATTTTATATAAAGAACACACAATATATTTTTTGCTTGTTTCTCAGTGAATATAGTGGTAGATATTCTCTGTACAAACCAAATATTAGGAGTTGCTAGGGAGCGTAGCGTTGGAAGCTGCCCATTTTCCTGTTGCTTACACTGCCCTGCAGACAGGATACTGGGGTCAAGGAACTCAATCAGTTCCACATCCTCCTGCAGCAGAACTTCCTGTTGCAGGATGGTACGGAGCGTGTCAAATCGGAATCCAACATCCTTACCACAAACGGGCAGGAGAAAAAACAGGCATTAGTAAAGCATATGCAAATTCTTAAAATTAAGCTAGCGTAACAAGGAAAACACCCAGACACTCTACACTTTACAATCTGTTCCCAAAGACTACAGGAACGTTTCAGATATATCACAAGTAGCTACTTCATTTTTATTAAAGCTGCTCAACTTCAAAAACTCACAGACTACCTAACAGTTCAAACTTGCAGGATGCATCAAACTGACTTTGTGATCTGATGTAGATAGGAACAATACCTGGAACCATGCCACAGATTATGCCAATATATTTGCGTAAGAATCAGAGAGGTACTATATCTATTAGAAGATCATTAATGAAACAGCAAATGCTTTTTTTTTTTTAATGTCATGACATAATTTACGTCAACAAACAAACAAAAATTAGAAAGAGAGATTACAAATTAGTTAACAAAAAGTCACTGGTGGACACTTAATAACAGCAGGGTCAATGCACTGGACTCAAGCCCCCAGCCAAGGCAGTGAAGTCCTCTCCTGCAGGATTCTGTGCCTCTCCCAAGGGAACTCGATCCAAACATGAAACTGCATCAGACTCTTGAAGACCTCACACTCGCCAAACTCCAGGCAAACTTCAGGGAGTTACTTACTTGTGGATTTGATGCCATGATAAGCATTTGCTATTTTTTCCCTCCTACAGCTATAGCTCTTCAAGACATATATACAATACACAGCTCTTGAACACAAATATATCCATCAGAGAAGCCCCCTGAAATTTTAATTTGCATACTGCACCACACTATAATTACAAAACACTTTAAGTTAAGAATGTCATAACAAAACCCAACAAACACTGAACACGTGCATCTTTGCATCTAGCTAGATTACAGGAGGGAAAGGAGACTATTTCTGTAAAACCCTCTAACAGAAGTATGACATTTCACAGTACAAAATCTGTTTAGTTCTGTCATTGACAGAATGAGATTATTTATGAAACCATAAGATAGCTAGTCAAAGGTTTAATTCCATACATTGATGTCACTTGCAATAACTTGCATTCTACTTTTCATGGAAAACATTTGTTTCAGGACTGTGTGCAAGAGGAAACTCTGCCCTCCTCCGATGCATCCTGTGTCATTTCAGTGCCCTACTGTCACATGCAGCAGGAGAAACCTGTTTTCCATATTCTTTGGTTGTGTCTCCATCTCAAGAAAGTACAACTAAAAAAAGCTGTGAAGATAATACCTTTGATTCACAGGGGAAGAGGGAGGAAGAAAAAAGACAACCAAAGATCAAAGATGAGAGGTTTCAGAGGAAATTTTGTCCTGTTGAGATAAGGGAGAAGAGAGAGCAATTGGACTCAGCAGAACTCTCTGAGAAATGGAAACCCCTAACTTCTCATGTTGCTCAACGTGTTTTTTTTTTTTTTGAAGCTACATTTGAAGACATCATCCCTATATCGTAGTAGGAAAAAAAATAAAATCAAAATTCTAACTTTTAGATTCTGGAACAGTCTAACGAATGTGACATTTGCAAGCCAGACTAGGAACCTGAAGCAGCTGGGTGCAAGTTAAAGCAGATCTCAGACAAGCCCAGGCTAGAGACTGAACTGGCTAGAAAGTGGCATTGCAGAGAACAGGTGTAAAGGCAGCATAAAACTATTTTTAACTATGTGGGGTAGAACTATCACCCTTCAGGTCTACACCACACAAGCTGACTTGGGCCTTAAAAGTTCCTGCAGGCTCCAGAAGTAAGAAAATACAACTTCTGGTGCAGCAGATGGACACCCAACCTGCTTCTGAACCGCCGAGAGGAGAGCACGCAGGTAGTACAGAGAACTGTTCTTGCTTCTCCCTACAGCCAGACTGCTACACGGATGTCATCTGCTCTTAATGCACAGCACTCTTCTGAAGCATTGTAAGGGAGCTGCCTTAATTTGCTTCACTTTTCCCAAATGCAGAAGCACTGTGGAGACCAGTGAAGAAACAAATAGGCCAGGATGGGTCCAGGGGTAGTACAGCTGCACTGCGGTCGTGCTATGCCTGAGCTAACAAGCTGAAACAGAGGGTGAAGCAATACTCAGATAAAGCTCTAGAACCTTCTGTCTTGAGCTGTGCCTGCAAAGCACTAGGCTGCAGCATATGGACTTCCTCAGTCAGCATCTCCACACTGCCTTCCACTGAATGGCGTAGCTACACTGTAGGTTAACTCCTTTCAGCTTTCAAGAATTTCCTTAATTTCTCACACATTTTGTTCTCTCTTCCACATTTTTAACATCTTCAGCCTGGCTACCTATATATTTCCTGTTCTTGTGTGCCCAATCTGCCTGGCGCAGTAACTCTGAAAACCAGGATCAATATTATCTGAAGAAGAAGTAGAACTCTTAGAGCCAAAACCAACAGTACAGACCAAAGATGCTGCTCAGAGGATGAGGTGCAGAGGAGAGGAAGACTTGTGGATTAGGAAAGGAAAGGGAAAAAAAAATTATCACTTACCAGTCGGTGAAGTATGTCATCGTTTTTCTTATATTGTGGAAAAGGAAACCAACTTCTAAAGAACTCAACTAGTTTTGACAGGATGCCTTGCTGAAGGGAACAGAAATTACTCCAATTAAAAAAAAAAACAAAGCCAAAAATAAGCAACAGACAATTCCTTTATTTCTGCATTTGCTTTTCTTCTTAACTCAGACCCAAGTACCTGTAAGGAAGTTTCGCTTATTGTGTCTGGCCTAACTTCAGAGTATGCTAAGGGAACATCTGCTTCCCGTCAGTTTGCCTGTACACAAGAGCATGAAATAAAGCTTTCAGTAACCCCACCTATTCGGAGCATAATGGATTTTTATGTTGTACTGTTAAAAATAACTACAGCTACAATGAGTTTGATCTCAAGTTGGCAGCTACTGCATCGATATGAAAGACTTTCTCTCTCCTTGAGGATAAAAAAAGCAGTGAAGTTAAATGGCTGATGGGGACTGAAGAAAAGTTAAGGACCAGGAGAGGAACAACCTCTCCTTGGCAGACCACCGCAGCTTGAGGACAAGGCTCTGGAGGAGCTGTGAAGAGAGACAAGGAAGAGTTGACTGTAAGAAGAGGAACTGTCCCAGAAACTCCCTGTCCCATCAGCACATGCTATCAGGTACTTCGTCTCCCTGCTGCTTCCCATGCAACTTAAATCCACACTTTCATCTGAGCTGAAAACATAACTTCGAATGCCACTAATTAGAGGGACTCCCTCTCAGTCATCACACATTTTAGTCATGTATCTTCCTAAAATACGATGCAAGAAAGATTATAATTAAATAGATGCATGATTTTGCTTCACTCCGCAGCCATTCAATGAAAAAAAATGGAGTTTTTGACACACACTGTATATCTACTTTCCCCAGCCTGAGCTGACAGGAAGTATTTTTCAAAATATTTACTTACATATATTTCATGAATTCTGAGGCCCTACCTCTTAACCTTCAGACTGCTGACATGTAATACAATCAATTGAAATGTATGCCAAAAAAAATTAATTGTGGAGCACTTAGATTTTGTGGCATAGTCTTTCAAAATAAAAAAAACCCAAACAAACAGATTATAATAGCTCAATGTATATAGGGTGTCTGCATTAAACCAGCTTCTTCCGTTTCTCCCTCTTGGTTTTTTTTTTTCCTTTTTTTTTCCCTCCTCTTGGTTTTTTTCTCCCCCCCCCCAACTATAAGGTGGGAAATAGAAGAGTAAACCGAAGCAACAGGAGCTTGGAGCTTTGCGGTTAGCCCTGCGAGCAGCCCGACAGCCCTCTGGAAGGCAGTGTGACACAAGTGTGATGCAGCAAGCCAGGGCAGAACAGCTTTGAGTAACATCAGAAATTGTCACCCTAAAGCCCTTAGGCTTCAACAGTTTTTGAAATAACTTACTTTGGTGTCCATTTAGGTAACCTAACTCAAGTTTTCTTTACATATGCCTTATCTTTCTGTGTACAGTTAGAATTGCAGACCTATGCCAAAATGAAGTGGTTTTAGGTCAGTGGAGAGAGAAACCAATAATAGGGGTTTCATAATGATACATGTTATCATGCTCTTCCCGATACACAGACATGATCGTGGCTTATTAGGAGGAGATACCCCAGCAATCCACACTTCTTAGACTATGGACTAAATCCAAGTGATTGTATTGTGATGTTGCTCAAGGGAACTGACATAAGTTGGAAGGAGAAGAGTGTCACAAACTGCAGCACTGGATTATCCTCCAAGTTTCTTGTAAAGTGGTGCAAAATAAAACAAAATTTTCCAATTGCAATTTGTAGAAAACTGAGACTAAATAAATAAAGGTTCTTGCTCTGCATTTGAGTTGCAGACAGATACTTCATTCAGAAGTACTTTTCCCAGTACTTTGAAAGCAGAGTATAGAAAGAATTGTCCATTTACTGTTTAAAATTATGCCTCTTGGAGCCTACCATTTTCAACTGCTTAGCCTTCATAAGTCTTTGGGATTTTATCATGAACATTTAAATCTACACCAAGGACAATTTTAAACTGCCACCAGCTGACTAAACTAGACTGTGGAATTACTGGAAAAAAAACCCCGTACTAGTGTGCTACGTTAGTAATCTTTTAGTTTATTTTCCATGTTTTAGTTTAAAAATAAAAAATCTGAGCTTGCATAAATACCCAACAGGCATGTCAGTGCTTGAAAGCACAAAACAAGACAACCCACTGTCTTGGGCTGTGACCCAGTAGAGTACAGTAACACATTACATTATTCAGATCCTTGGAACAGTGTCTCACAGTTTGTGTTCCCATTGGGAGTGTTACTGACAAGTAAAACAACTTTCATCAACACACAAGTCAGGTCATGTTGCCAATGCTTCTGGAGTATTCCTCTTACAATTTTAGAACACCACTCAGTCGAACTCTCTGTAAACTGAATACCAAAGATGCATAACTCCTAACATTTAAGAAAAATAGCACAGGACATGCACATTAGGTACATTCATTTGAATCTAAAATAAAATTCTAAGGACTATTTCTCTTTTGTACAGGATGAACCTGAAATGGCAAACTAGCAGGTATCTAAAATACCATCATTAACATGGGCACCTTTCAATTCTGTGCACTTCAGAGAGAAGATAATGCTACACATTAAGTACCTTCCAGCTACCCAGAGCTAGCATTAAGTGGGTGGGAGCCCTAGACAAAGGCAAAGGACTGGTCCCTCTGCCCTTCCGCATCAGGTCACCTGCATGGCTACTGAGGGCTAGCCCCAACACAATCCTCAGTAGCTGCCTCCAGCACCAGCCCTGTTCCACTGATGAAATATTATCACATCTAAGATGGGATAAGGTGTGACAGTATAATCAGTTTAAACATTGATATGCACAGCAGTCTAGGAAAATAAGTGAGAAAGGGAAAATGTAAATGGGAAGAAATACATTCCTTTAAGAAATGGGAAGAAATACATTCCTTAAAGATCAAGCAGAATTACCCAAATAGGATTTAATTCCAGAAAACAGGTTTAGGAGCTCTTGCAAACAGTGCTTTTGAGTACCAAGCGATCATGAGACCAGAACTCTAGCTGTAACTTTCTCCAGAGATTGGTACAGCCAGGAGCACTGCACCTATAATTACCATGCTAAATCACATCTCTATACTCCCTCAGATGGGAGCTTGGCATTTCATCAGCCCCCAGAACACAACCTTGAAGCACCTTTACAGCTTTTCTAGCTCAATGCTCATTAAGACCGTGTTCTGATTAAAAAAAACCCCAAAACACCAAAACCACACACAGAGAGAACTATTTAAGATGTGCTTCAAATTCAGCTGATGGCTCTGCCTTTCATTAAGTCTGAACCATATGCCGTGCTTGGCAAGACAGCAAGACCCAGCAGCAACATTTGTATCAGCCACTAGGAACCTCTTTTTTTTTTTTCCAGATTTGTTTCTTCAGTCCCCGAAGATCCCAAACTAGATCTTTGCCTTGCCAAAATCTTGCTACATGCCACCAGATTGTATCTGCACTGGGATCCTACTTGACTGAATACAAGAGGAGTAAGCAATCTCAACTCAAAGACAAAGCAATACTGCAGCTTTTCTGTTTTTATTTTAATAAAAGTGTTTAAGGCATTTGCAAACTTGTTTTCCAGAACAGAAGGAAAACGATACGCACATACTAGGCATCACTCAGCATGGAACTCAGCGTGAGAACTGTGACTATACTTTGCATTGTACTAAGCCTCAACTAAGATCATTTTGTATTAGGGCTGCGGGTAGGTACATATTCAGAACTCAGAAACCATTTGTTTCCCAGACATCTTATAATTTCAGTAGACTAGGCCAGCGAAGGCTGACAGAAGGGAAGTGATAACAGTCTCACGTACAAATGAGGAAATGATTGGACGGGAATGTTAATGATTTGTCTCTATGTCATACAAAAGTTGCAACAAAGCCTCAGATCCTCTTAAATCCAGTCCACTTCCTTAAATGCGTGGCCAGCTGCCCTTCCCTCATTCTCTTTCCTTTTGAGACACCCTATCGCAATGGGACACAGAAACCCAACAACAAAAACAGACGTTCTGACATCAGATTACAAAAGAAAAGTGTTAACGCTCCCAAACTGGTACTTGAACAGCAGCAGTAAGAACCTATCACATTTTATCACTAGAAATTACACACAAGTCTCTTCCTTATTTCCACTACGTATCCTTGTCTAGACAGAGATGAGACAATGTGAATGTCATCCTAGTATTTGTAAGAAACGGACAGCCCATTTTCACACCCACTTCCTTCAAGTTGCAAGGCAAACCATGACAAATTACTTCTACATCTGACACAATACTGGAGGACTTGCTCCCAACACAATAAAATTAAGTGTAAAATGCTTGAGGGGAAGGAAGGGGAAAAACCAGAATACTTGAGGCTTTTAAAAGCAGTATATCTTAATACTTCTGAGGTTCTTAACCCCACAGCACTTCTGTATTAAATTTGGTGGAAATTATATACACGAACACAGCATCATACTGCTTTACTGACTTCCACAAAAGTAATCATGCAAAATAAAGTAATGCAGCTAACAAGCGATAGTCCATGCATTATTTCATAGTAACGAACAGATAACCGGCCAATGAAATATGTCACCCTAATTTTCAATTAACAATGGCTTAATTAAAGTCTTCCTGCACTAAGTCAGAATGGGTATCTTCAATGTAAATGTACCACAAAACTGCCGATAGCTTTAAAGGGAAAATATATTTTCAGGTGGTTTTTGAGGGCTACGGTAAGTGCCAGCTCACAATTCTGAAAAGTAAGGGTAGTGGATCTAATACTTCCATGAATCCTCTTACAGGTGGTTTAAATTAAAGTATAAAAAATTGTGAGTTAAACCCTGAATGGTCACCCTTGTGACCACTGATGGAAGTAATCGTTATTACAAATGTAATAGCTCTCCACATCAACGGTAACTAGAAATCAATTTATTAATTAAATTTAAAATAATCTTACATTAGAGAAGCCAGCCAATGAAGCATGGAGACACTGCAAGAATCACTTCTCTTTCTCCCCTCAGTTAATCTGTTTCTTAGGTTCACAAATACTCAGTATACAAGACTGGAGTTCTGTATGAAGCTGCTTGGTAGGTTTTTTCTACACGATTGCTGAACTCTCTGAAAAACCGTAAACTCTACAGGAGCATGGCTGAACAGTACAAAACTTAAGGATTAGTATGATTATTTTTTACAGGCTCTGTCTAACCCATGCACTAGGCATGCAGTGGTACTTCACAGGTCTGCTCAATGTATATGCACCCTGTATCTTATCTCCATGATCATCTTTGATCAGAAAGAAGAAGGGAGACATGACACACTTCCGTAGGACTACAACTCTCGGAAACTGCGGATCGAGGCAGTGAAGCAAAGTGCACAGTGCACCTGCCCAGCAGGTAAACACAAACTATGACCAATCTATCCATGAAGATAGACTCCAACAGGACTGAAGACCAGAGCAAAATGTTTCATGCTTTATTGCCCTGTCTTTTCAAAGGGACTAACAAGTGTGTGAGGACATTTATATATTCTATACGGAGAGTGGTTGAAATGAATATCACTATATGAAAATATGACCTACCAACACTTCTCTGAATACTGCTACATGAATAAGCTTCACACTGCAACTTCTAAATTTTCACTTCAAAGACTGTGCATGTCAGTCCTTGCAAGTACACCATACTATTGCAAACATTTAAAAAAACACACATTCTTCCCCCCAATCAGAAAAAACCTGACTGATGTTATCCACATCAATTCATACACCTCCGAATCCTACCCTACCTAAGATCCTACACAGAGCAACACAGATTAAAAATCCCACAAGAAAAAAATACTTCCGACCTAAAACAAAGGAGCAACAAGAGGGACACATACAAAACTGGAAAAACTTTGTTGAAATAAAGCCTAACTAACTGTGACTATTACTTGGCTAATTCTTTGAAGCATCTTGAGAACCGAGTAGCAGATATACGTCAAGATGGCACTATTTGAGAAAAGATCCTAAGAAAAGCATCAGCTGTCCTCATTTGCCATATGATGTCCCACATCCACCACAATCTGCAGGGAGACCTTCTGGAGATCTCAGGGCCACTCATATTGCCTGTGTTTGGGAAAAATAGGATGCTCTCCCCAGTTCACTGCCAGCTAATTCGGACGGTGGAACACTGTAGGGCAAGGAAGCAGCAGAGCTTACAAATGAGAGGGAAGGGATCGTGAACTTCTGATTTGAAGATAGCTGAAGAGATATAAAACAGGAACGAACAACAGGAAAACTGAGCTCCAGTGGCAGGTTAAAAGTCACAGCGGGCAAGAATCAGATGACCTAAAGTGCACAAAGGTGGAAACTACTGTAGATGGTGGGGAGAGAGGACAAAGAAATGGTAATTCTTCAGAGGCAATGCATCAACCCATGAATGCTTGGTTTGGGTTCTTACCTGTAAGGTGCTGCCCACCTCAGCCTGCAGCGGCCAGGATGGAGAAGCCTGCGTGGAGGCCCTTCTTCCTCCTAGCTTAGCACATAGCTGGAGCATGTCCACCGAAAACTGAACTCTCCACTGTGGAAGAGGTAGGCAGAAAAATAACTGCTCTTTGCATGCTCCATCTAGGTGCTAAGGAGAAGACAGACCGACTACTGAATTTTCAACATACTTGTTGCAAAGAGATTCCTACATTAGCTGCCTCCAAAGAGGAATTTCCTCACCCACACTACAGCTCCTCATCTGAGTCCCATTGTCTGCACACTACCAATAATAGTAAAATATCATTTATTTTTAACAAGGAAAACAAAAAATGTGTAGGCCACAGTATGTGTTAAATAGCCAAATTCTCAAGCATAATTTTAATACCAAAATGTTTAAAAAAAATCCACAAGCTTTTACTTAAAATGATACAGAATTAAGAAGTCTGAGCTAATCAGCTGATGATCCGAGTCAGCTGTTACTGTTAGAAGCACAGTTCTAAGCTAAGCACAGTTCTACTGTCTCATTCAGATTGGTTATTGTATTTATGCTTCCCAGAAATCCTCTTTCTTAATATGTTTTGTCACAGAGTAAGTGGTATTTAGCAACTGAATGCCTGAGAAGGGCTGGGAACTATAAATATTCTGTTCCAGAAAATTACAGGTTTTGTTCCCAGAATGTCATGCTAAGCTAACGTAATAATCTCCAGTAAATAAGATAATTTACAACACTCAGAAAATTCACTATCAAAGTCTCTTGTTTCCCTAGCTTACACAAGTGCAAATAAACACTTCAAACTATACTGGCAAACCATGCATTTCCAAGCACATTTGCAGACAAGGTATGACAACTGGTTGGGCTTTTTTTACTTTTTCTTTTCTTTTTTTTTTTTTTTAAATACAGTAAGAGATTTATCTTTATCCCCTCTGATTTTGCCTATTTGTGAAGTAATGTGGTTCTCTTTTGAGAAGATAAATACTCAGGAACAGGAGAGTGCTCACTTTCTGGGCAGCATGCAGAGTCCGTTCTCTTTGGCTTTCTGCTGCTGCACATTGCTCTGCCTTCTGCGACACAGATGAACATACTTCAAAATCCGTGTGTCCCAGATCCTGCAGATATTGGTAGAGTGGGGAATTCTGAAAGAGAGTTAAAAAAGAAAAATGAGAAAAAAACAATGTTGAAAATCATTCCTTGTTTTCCACAAAACACAACTGTGAATACAGCAACCACACAACCAGCAATGAATGGATTGAGAACAGCCCTGCAGAGAAGGACTTTGGGATAGTGGTGGATGAAAAATTGGACATGAGCCGGCAATGTGTGCTTGCAGCCCAGAAAGCCAGTCGGACCCTGGGCTGCATGAAAAGAAGTGCAGCCAGCAGGTCGAGGGAGGTGATTCTCCCCCTCTACTCCACTCTGGTCAGACCCCACCTGGGGTCCTGCATCCAGCTCTGGGGTCCCCAGCACAAGAAAGACATGGACCTGTTACAGGAGGTACAGGGGAGGGCCACAAAAAACAATCAGAGGGCTGAAACACCTCTCCAATGAGGAAAGGCTGAGAGAGTTGGTGTTGTTCAGCCTAGAGAAGGGAAGGTTCCAGGAAGACCTTATTGCAGCCTTTCCATAATTGAAGGGGGCTTATAAGAAAGACGGAGACAGACTGTTTACCAAGGCCTGTAGTGACAGGACAAGGGGTAGCAGCTTTAAACTAAAAGAGTGTAGATTTAGATTAGATATAAGGAAGAATTTTTTTACAATGAGGGTGGTGAGCTACTGGAACAGGTTCCCCAGAGAAGCTGTGGATTCCCAATCCTTGGATGGTCAGGCTGGATGGGGCTTTAAGCAACCTGATCTAGTGAAAGGTGTCCCTGCCCATGGCAGGGGATCTTTAAAGGTCCCTTCCAACCCAAACCATTCTGTGATTCTGTGCAACAGGAAGAAAAAAAAAAAACCAGCACAGTTAATAGCAAAGAAGCCAAAATTTTGCTTTAAGTATCTCCCTTTAGCTTTATCCTGACCGTAATGAAAGAGGCTGCAAGACAGTCAACATACAAAACAATGTGATGAGAAATAAGCATCCAACCAATCAACCTTTCCCATAGCAATATTTTTTCTAGGTTACCTGATAGGGTTTTTTAGCTTATAACTTACATGTTTTCAATAAATAAACTATGTATTTGGTAATATATTTTAAAATATTCTTGTGTGACTCCAAAACACTTAATGACACTATTTTCTTAAAGTTTATGAACATTGAATAGATTATACTTTGAACCACTTCTACTGAAACAAACTTTAAAACTAGAGAACTTTTCAAACTTCAGTAAATGAAGCCTCAGTGTAATCTGATTAGGTACCTAGAGTATTTTACAGAAATGGAAAAACAAATTGGAAAAAGGCTTCTGCTCTCTCTGCAGATGGTAGTAGCACTTCTGGCAAAGGAGTATCATAGTTATTTTAAAAAAAAAAAAAAACAACGACAAAAAAAACCCCCACCTTTTTTAAGCTGCTGGCAAAACTACTAATTTATAAGAAGTCCTTAATAAAACTTCTTAGAGAAAGTATGGAATTCTGATTGCCAGACAGTGGGTTTTTACATGTTTAGATATTTATCTATACAGACTTCTGAATTTTCTTGTTTTCATCTGCATCAGATATCTAGATTTACTTAACTGTTATTTTTCTGTTGACATCCACATATATGGCAGTATCTATGATAGATTTGATGGAAAGGCTATTTTTGCTAACTCCAGTCCTACTCAGGAGATGTAGAGAGACTTCTTTTTTAAGAACAACGCTCAGCAATCAGTCTTAAATATCCTAGTTGGTTAGGGATTGATTTTGGCCTCCAAAAAGCTTTATCAACATCCCACACTAGTATGCAAACACTAGCAAACTGCATAGGAAGAACACGAAACATTTTAAGAATTCTAACATGCCATCGGTGAGATAACAAAAATATTGTAAGTAAAAAGTAAAAACTTGACAGTAAATACAGTTGCGGAGGTCTGCAGAAACAACCACCAACAGAACATCTACTACAAATTGTTATGTTAACTATCATTAACTTGCTGGTGCAAGTTGTAAAAAAGGCACATCTACCATGACCATGTACCAACGTGGCCGAATCTCAAACGACTGCTTGCCATACAATAAAACTTGGAAGCCATCGTTCATACTAGCTGAACAAATTCTTACCTCTACGGATTTTTTTTTTTAACCCCATCACCAAAGTGCTATTTTGATCACTGTTACCTTTTTAAGGCATGCAAATTCATACATTTGAATGCTCTCCTTGAGTTACTCACAACAAATGCAGTGTCCAGTCATGACCTGAAACTCAAACAGTCGTACCCACTCACAGCCCTGTGCAGGTACAGACAATCCCCCTCACCCACAATGACAATGATTGTGCAGAACGCTAGGATAGGCTAATGACTCAATTCCTTGTGGGAATTTTTTCACTGTGACAACTCAATCCTATCTTTTTCCAAGTACCCTTCCTCCACGGTTGAGTACTTTTTTAAATGCATCTAGCTCTAGTTAAACAATGTCGCGTTCTCGACTGGCTGGAAAGAAGGTAACTTTCTAAGTAGACACTTTACCAGAACTACTTAATTAAAATGGAAAAGAAAACATAATACACTAGAACACTTCTCTTATTTAAGACACTGTTAAAGTAGCTTTAAAACTTCAGGACATAACTCGGAATATGAATGGATATGCATACAGAGCCAGGCTGCGCACTGTCAGCACACCTGGAACAACCTGAACACCCCCACATGAGAGGCTTTAGGGTAGCATTGAGGTTTCAGTCAAAACCAGACAGAATTTTCCCTGTTTAGATGAAAACACGTAGACAAAACACTAAGTGAACAGAGAACGTTTTACTCAAAATCATAGTTTTGATGCTCGCTCTAGGCAGGCCTCCAAGAAAATCATATCCAGGCTCTTGGCAGACCTGTCCATCATCTTGATCATACTTGTCACAAGCAAGGCCAGCCATCATTTGACGCATGACTATTCTTGTACTTTATTGGTACTCACCTACATACAGACAGCTGGCAAAATAACCCAAATATACCAAGGAGTTTTTCCACTAGTATCTCAGGGTGCACCTCGCTTTGGGGTCCGTAATGAGATAATTTTCTAGAAGCTGATGAAGAAAACTGGTCTAATGCTGTTTAGACTGGTTCCATTTCCTCACAAAAACGGATGAAGGCAGGCAGACAGAGACAGAGACTCTGTCCACTGAAGACGGAGAGAATTAGCTAAAATCCCAAATGCCACATTTATTAAGCGAAATATTGCATAGATGTAAGAAGGCTCAGTTCTTCCCTCTTACTAGGTATTTGGCAACATCAAAACCTTCCATCTAACTGTAATTAGTACATTTTCTACTCTACGGAAATAGTAAAAAATACACCATCTCGCCAAACGTTAATGAAACTTTAGCCCCTAGCTAGGATGAATAATTTCATTTGTTCTTGTAATCAAGGTGGAATACAGGCACCTTACTAGGTTTTACACAAATTCCTTCTGATTAACTTTTCGAAGGCTTTTACAGGGTCTTATTATGGGTAGATTTGCATTTTTTTATCACTGCTCGGAACTGGAAATCAGTTTTCTGATTACTGAGTTAGCAAATGATAATGGATTAAAATGTAACTCGAATGTTTATCACATATTCTTTCGAGGAGATAAACATTCTCCTCTTTCAGTTTCTTAGAAAGTACTCGGGTTTCGACAATCCTCCTCTATCACATTTCTCTCACGCCACATGCTTTCTCTTTCCCATTCTTTTCTAAAAGATTATTAGCAGAATTTAAGTGCCCATTGGAAAACCTCATTTTTTATTCACTTAAATGACCAAGAACTATGCTGTGACTAAAATCCCTTACGCTATAAGTAAAACCACCATTGTTCCCCTTTCTGAATCCATTAGTCGCATGTAAGATATGGGTAAAGAAAGCACTGAATAAGAAGTGGGTTGAGGCCCTTGTGAAATTAGATTATTAAGAACCTTAAAGAACTGATCATAAAATTCTTCCATTAAGAGCGAGGTCTCTTGTGTAGCACACTCAGCTTTACATTTTGCTCAGAAAATTTGAAGATTACACTCCTCTTGTATTAGAAATATCACTGATGGCACACATACATTAGCCTGTGCTAAGGTAAAACCACAGACTGTTTATTTATTTATTTATTATATTTCATGTCCTAGATACTGCCCAACTTTATCACTGATGGCACACATACATTAGCCTGTGCTAAGGTAAAACCACAGACTGTTTATTTATTTATTTATTATATTTCATGTCCTAGATACTGCCCAACTTTAAATGATACTGACAAGCCTGTCACTTGTAAAGCTGTGTGGTCTGTATAACTCACTAAGGATGTCTCCAACAGTCTATAGGAAATTTCTCCCATGACATATGTAAGTAATGGCTAGAAAATCCAGCAAAGGAATTTAAAAAAGTTGAAGGGTAGATTTTATGTACGTGAACATTGACACAAAAGCTCCAATATTCTCAGAGAATCAGAAAATTATTAATTATGCAACTACAGAATTGCAATATGATACCATTAAAATATCCTATTCTATATACTGCTTGTTTCAATACAAGAGACAGAAGTATTATACTTAATGCTTGCGAAGCATTTTTCATCTTCACAAAGCTTTAAAAACAATAATTAAATCTCATAATATGTCTGATGTCCCACAAAATTATAGCTCTGAATTTCTAGCTTACATCTTTACCCAAACCTCTCACTCCTAAATGCCTTCTTTCCCATAAAAAAAGATCACAAATATGCACATATTCTCGCACATGCACTTCTAACTGTGAGAAAAATACCTTGGTTTCAATTCGTGCTGTCATTCATCAGCATTATCAGGCTCAGCTGTTTTCACCTGCAAATGCCATGATAATATTAAAACAATCTACTTGTTGATTGGGGAAAATAGGATGGATCTGCCTTTTTTCCACCTAATTTTCTTTGCCCAAAATTCATGCATTCCTTTTTTCAACAGTCTAACATTAAAAAAAAAAAAAAAAGAGCAACTGATTTTACATTTCTGCATATATTACAGATACTACACTTTAAGAAATTCAGGACATATCAGAAAGTTTATCCTTGCAAGTTTTAATAGGTTGTAATTAAAAAAATATATATATAATTTAGACTTGAGAGAAAGCTTTTATGTTAGAACGTGAGGTAAACGGAGAGTAAGGTTGTTTCAGTGGACGGCATGAAAAGGAAATTTAAAATATAAAATCACATCTTCTTACTAATACATCATCATGTTACTCTAGAGGAATCTATTTCCATGTATTTTTGAATCTCTACTTTCAACCACTCCCGACTTAGATAATAACAAGTCATGTTTGACAGTCAGGTTCATTTATTTATTTTTAGTTGTCTCTACTAGAATGACATGGTAATGAATCATTTACAAAGTAGAGAAGAAAAACGGTAATAATTCAGCTTATTGTTATGTTACCATCATACTACCAGTTACTGATGGGAAATATTATCTAAAGTAAGTGAGGATACCAAGATAGGGTTTCTCAGCAATATGCTGCATTTATTTCTGAAGTTTCTTCTAAGTCACTTTCTGAGACCACCTAGATAAAAGAGACAGGCATTACACTTACAGCCAGGGCATTTTTTTATTATGCTACTTGTCCAAAATGTGTGCTGGAAATAGAAAACAGTTCCAGGACCGACAGAAGACAAAATGTCGTTATTCTTTGGTGTACTTCATAAAGATTATACATGGAAAATCTTGTTAGTAAGTGAAGCAAGGTAGTCAGAAACAGTTGATGTACTGAGTAGGAACTTACTTTTTGAAAATTTTAAGAATTAGGGTTTTCTGGGGACTCAGCAGAGACTGACAACAAAAACCCTACTTATCTTTCTTTGACTTTTCTAATTCACTAGTCAGTCATACTGCAAAGCCATTCAATTGTAACTAGACATTTATAGTATAGTATAGGTTTATATAAGCTCCCATTTCCAGAATCAAGAAAGAAAATCCTTTCCTCCTCATTCATAACTCCCCGAGCATATTTATTTTAGATCCATACTACTAAAAATTATTTCACTCACATACATGTGTTTAGTTTCAACTCTCCTTTTGTCATTGTTAAAAGTGGTTGAGTCTGATTCTAAACCCAAGATACATTATGCAGGATTAAGGAACAGTCTACTATATTAGTTTTGTTCTTTAACCCTTTCCCAATGCTTATTTTAATGCCACTTGCCACACAGCACCGACTTAGAAAAAAACATAACCTAAACTGAAGACTAAAGATTGTGTTTGCAACTCTAAGCCTACAGTAAAAATAAATACAAAAAAATCAAAACCAAGCCAAACATTAAAAGATAATCAAACATACATAACATTACCTACTGCTATGTGATGGAACGGTTGTTATAGCAGAGGATTCCCTAGCTTTGGAAAAGAGCTCACTTTTGATAGATATCTACTCGAATACTTACATCTATTGCAGCCTTGCAAGCACAGATATTGCGCTTTAATATGTGAGGCATTTTGTGTGTATTCTGACAAAAACCTTTCCGATCACAAATTGCATTAAGACACTGTTAGCTTTCATAGCCTTGTTACAATAGCAGCTGAAAACCAAAGCCACACCCAAATTATTTTTGCTGATGCATCATGAAGTAAATGACTCAGGATTTCTCCATTAGAGACAGGGGCTTCCCACACCCAATGTTCTTTACTACGATAAAATTTACTACCTAGTAAACCCCTGCTCTAGTTTCCAACCATAGCTAATGGAGCAGATTAACTTTAAAAATAATATTTAATGCCATCGCACAAAGTAAGAGGTTTAAAGATCTCTTCTTGAAATACAGATGTTTTTCCAAAGCTGAGGTTTCCAATATGCCAAAAACACTGTGCGAGCTTAAAGCTTAAACCACCTCCAAAATAACTACAAGTTATAAATTATCAGTTAAAAAAAAAAAAAAAAAAAGATTAAACATTTCTACCACAGTGACAGAAAAGGCTAAGAGATGCTGAACAGGTGGCTAAACTCAGAACAAAATAAACAGTAGAGAAATCTCCCTCCCTCTCTCAAAACACAGATTTGAAGAAGTGGAGCTAACACTCACAGACAGTGCAATCTTTGTCTCCTGGAAGAGGGTATTCCATTTTTCTCGTCGGTACTGCTCCCATGCACCTGAGAGAATCTCGCCCACCTCCCCGTTTCTTTCCGCTTGTCCCTCCAGGATGCCCCGAGCCGAGGATGAGAAGCAGCCGTCAGTGTAATTGCACCTGCGCCCCTGCACAGTAGCATTTTCCTGACGGCATCAGCGGATGCAGTTTGAAACTTCCCAGGATCGTGCGATTTCTCCTGACTAACGTGGCTTTCTGACTGGGGGGAGGGAGATGAGGATGACAGATTGCTAAAGGCTTTTAAAAAGGTACTGCCTGAAAGAATTATTGCACATCGATCTTATACGCAGCCATTAATAAGACTTTCCAAGCAACAGTATTTAAAAGCCTTGGTCATATCCTCCTGGCTGGTAACCGCCTCCTCCTGTGCTCCGACTGAGAAAGAGCCAGGCGCTGACAGGGCTAATATTAGACAATGACTTCAAGGCAGCGAAAGAGTCATTTAAATTTCCTGTTCTGCTTTCACCACCACAGGAGCGCAGGCCTTAGTTTTTCCAGCACTACTGTATCCTCTCATTTAGAAGCAGGCTCCGAGAACTACTTGGAAGCCATTAATCTGTTACTGTTCCCGGATATTTTCTGATGTACAATATATATCTAATTCTGCATGCATCCATGTGTCCTGAAGAGTTAGGAAAGTTTTATAGCCTGTGTACAGTTGTGTATCACTTGGTCTGTGACATGGGAAAGCTCTTTCCTTTGCATTCTCAGCAGGTGGTTGCACATTACCGCCATTGTGGAAAAGCCTTAGAAAGAAATATTACATACTAGACAAAGCCCTGAAACTCACTGAGAGCTCTGCGTTATTTACCCATTCAAAAGTGGAACTGCATATACAGGTGAAAAGCTGAGCAGGACCTTTCTGACAAGGACAGAGATGAAAAGCACCTGAAAAACTGAAAGTGGTAAACGTTACCTTCCCTGGAGAAGAGGGTAACAGGCCAGCCAGATTCTGTACCCAAAGCTTTGGGTGGGAAGTCACTGATCACGCAGGTCATCGCACTAGGCTGATACAGGAAAACTGGTTTGTTTTATACCAGTTACTAACAACTCACAGATTTTACCCTTCACTTACATTCAAAACTAAATTAATGAAGTCAATGCATCTGGTAAACTAGCGGCGTATTTCTGAAACATTTTGGAAACCTCTTTAAAACACCAGCTCCAAAGAATGAACTTGTTTATCCATTATAAATCATGTTAATTCTGACTCCTACTGACAACACACTGTAAGCAAACTGAAGTGAAAAGCATCCAAGAAACCAAAGAGTCAATCACATTATAAAGACTAAAAGAAAAGTACAGTGAGTCTTTTTTTTTTATTCAAGTGTCTCAAGGAAGTTGATTCATGACTTGAAGTTGTGAGAGCAGTACTGCAGTATTAACCCTCCCATAAACATGACCCCACAGCGCTTAATACAGAAGAGGACTACAAAATTTTTGGACCAACAGACCTCAAAATTTGCTATGGATCATCATGTACTTTTGTCTTCAAATTTTCTATTAAAAATAATAAAGGCAATATGGGTTCACACACCATATGGCCCATATAATACTTTTCTCTATCTGTTCAGATACAACATTAGTATTATTGAAAAATGCCTGAGGAGTTTACCTGGCCTCCGCAACAACCAGACTGCTCTTTACACAGTTTTAAGCTTGCGGTTTCTTTTATTGTCTCTCTAATATCACGTGCCTCCCAGCCATGTGATGAAAAGAAGCACAGCCTGTCCTCCTCTTCCTCTTAGCGGACTGCTGAGAAGCAAAATATCCAAAATAGTCTATCCGTCACTAGTCCAGGTGCTTCTACGGTACACTGCAATTTGCAGCAGAGGTATCTCCCTAGGCTACATTTACATGCCCAATTTAATCTGCCATTACCAGTAGGTGCAGATGAAAGCTGCAGTGCCATTTTAGAACACTAATGGTAATATTTATACAGCCAAATGGTGAGATGGAACAAGGAACTGACCTGATTGTAAAAATAAAAAAAAAAAAAATCTTTTTTTTCTTTCTTAGGCAGGTTAGTTTATAGTCTAATCAGTCTCCTGAGCCAGCTTACAGCATCACCCACAAATCTAGGCACCAGCATAAGGAAGAGGATGGGAATAAGCCGGAAAAGAGGAGTGAAGCCCAAACACTTCTTCTGGCAACAGCCCACACTTCAGGCAGGCAAAGCATAGTCTCAGAAACAGCTCATCAGAATGGCAAGCGAACTGTGGTTTTGACAGAACTGTGTATTTAAAACTGGCTTTATTTCATGCGCACGTATAAAATGAGAGTATTGCATCTTTAGTCCACCCAATATTTGGTGAGAAAAATCCTGTTGAGGGAGCATTACTGACACTACCAGTGAAGTTGTGTGAATATCCTTTTTCAGCTTCTTCTTCTTCCTAATTTATAACATTTGAAACATTATTTTTTAGAATGCAACATTTATAAGCCTGATGCTTGACAAAAATCACATTACTTTGAAAGTCCTAAAGTTTTCAGGTTTTTGAATGAATGTGACTTAAACTTTTCACCACAACAAAGTTTCTGAGGTTAGGTTTCCTGGGGTTTTCGTTTGTTTTTGTTTCATTTTTTTAAACAAAATAATTTTAGAACAGCTCAGTTTGGTTGGAGAAAGCATTTGTGAAAACAAACATCACTGGGTGTTTTGATAAAAGCTACATTTGGTTTAAAAGAGTTCAGATGAGGATTTGAACATCTCAATTTAGTGATGCGCCAGTATTCTAAGCAAAGAAAAAACATATTTTAGACATGCTTTACTATTGTAGGCATACAGAAAACACATCAGCTAAAGGCTGCTCTGAATATAGTTGTATTATGCTGGGAACTGGTGGTGCCTCTTGCTGGAATCTCTCTTAAATCTTCCAGAAATCTGTATTTCAGAACGTTGTATGTAGGCATCCTCCACGCCCCTCAGCGCCAAGCAGCATCTTGGCTTGTTGCCTAAATATGCAGTGAGAATTGTCTTTCTGAACCTGACATTTGAACGCATTATGATGTTGCCCTGTATTTCCCAAGCACTTTTGTCCCACGTCTCTCCCAAATGGACTCCACCATTCCTACCTCCTCCCCACACAGGCCAGACCCAGGGCCAGGCAGCTGCCAGCTCTGCTGAGCCCTGGAGCTTCCTTTCTCTCTCAGGATGGCATGCTGCTTTTGTAAAGCACTTCACTGTTTTCAGGACTCATTTTTCACATCAGCTTCTTCCACTACAGTAAGAAGACAAAGAACGCAAAGCATGTCTCTCCAAACTCTGGAAAGGGTAATTCCATTTCTGTGCATATTTTCCCCCAATGATGGGTAGATGACTGCTTGAGCAAGGGCTGGCTGTGACATGAGAGCATCTGTTATACGTTCAAAATCTTTGTTCTGAGTTTGTGGGTTCCAATTCTAGGTTCAGTAGAGCTGTGTTCAATATTTTACATAGATACAAACTTTTGAATTTGGACATGAGATTTTTGAATCTCTTTGCATTCCTCCTTAGCTTGTTTTCTTTTTAAATACAGATTAGTATGGATTCCGAGATTTGATGCAGATAGGTGAGCCAAAGAAAGTCTCATTTTGTTAATTTGCTATTATTCTCCCATTTGCACAATATAAAATTTGAAGTCGGGAAAGATCACATATACTATTTATATTGGTTTTTTCAGTCTGGGATTTCTAAGGGGACAAACAACAAATCCCAAATTTAAAAGTCTGGAGTCATGATCAGATCCTCTAGATCTAGAATAAAAGATTAGATTCAACTGTGACACTAACATCATGACGCTCAGCCAGACTTTAGTGGGGTTATTCTTTAACATGTATTTCCACTAGTACTGAAATAGCCAGTGAATAGCAACATTAAGTAAATAATATGGACAGAACTGGTTATAGGAATGGCACAAGACTCTTGAGTTAATTAAAACAATGTCAAGTGAGGAAAGCTTTCTTTCCTAACTAAAACAAAAAAAAAAAAAAAAAGAGAGAGAGATGTTTATGGCAATGAAAATGAGTACTGTATTTTACACAATTCTACACACAAAGCTTTATATTTCAAACACTGTGTATGAAAAAGCCCTTAAAAATCCAAGCGGGTGGCAGTTTGACATTGTGGGTGTCAAAATCTCACTTTTTTTGTGCAATCTGGTGAAAAATCTTCCACGGATTAACTTTCTTCTGCAAACACAGCATTAAAATGGAAAACGAAAAGTCAGCTCTCACCTTTCCACCAGAACCATATAGCTGACACAGTCAGGAAGACTTTCTGGGATTAGGTTCCAACAACAGTCTGGGTGAACCTGAAGGAAGGAGCATCTCACACACGAGGAAAGGCTGAGCGAGCTGTGATTGTTCAGCCTGCAGAAGAGAAGGCTCAGCGGGATCTCCTCAATGTATGTAAATACCTGAAGGGAGGGTACATAGAAGATGGAGCCAGGCTCTTTTCAGTGGTGCCCAGCGGCAGCACCAGAGGCAATGGGCACAAACTGAAACACAGGAGGTTCCCTCTGAACATCAGGAAACACTTTTTTAAGGTGAGGGTGACTGAGCACTGGCACAGGTTGCCCAGAGAGGTTGTGGAGTCTCCGTCCTTCAAGATATTCAAAAGCCATCTGGACATGATCCTGGGCAACCAGCTCTAGTTGGCCCTGCTTGAGCAGGGAGATTGGACCAGATGACCTCCAGAGGTCCCTTGCAACCTCAACCATGTGATTCTGTGCACATACCTTTAATATGTAAAATGTAAAAACCAAACGTGCAAAAGCTCATTAAAATATAGGACAAATGACTTAGCCGGAAGCAGAAATTGGGAGCTGAAAATACACTCAAAGAGCAGTGTTGGGATCACCTTCATCCCAGTGTTCTGGAAGAATGGGCACAGGTGATCAAAGATCCAGCAGAAAGGATTTTTAATCTATAAACTCAAAAGTGGAAAAAAGCAAACACAGTGCCTATATTTACAAGGAGAAAAAAGCAATCAGGCATATGCCAGGCCTATGAATCTGATCAAAAGCCAGCATGCTACTGAGAATAATTATTCTTGCAAAATTCAAAGACAAAGAAGAAAACAGATGATCATCAAAGAAGATATCACATGGATTCACCAGACGTAGATTGTGCCAAACTCACTCGACATCTTTCTCTGACAAGACAGATGATTTTTCTAGGTAAAGGAAATGCAGGAAGTTTATACGGACTTTTTATACTGTGCCATACGGGGTATGGACTTTTGATACTGTGCCATATCAGTTAAGATGAAAAAGATGGGAAAGGAACCAAATATGTAGATGGCAGAGATAACAGTGGGTTATGCTGAACAGAAAGCTATCAGATCAGAAGGTTACTAATGGAGTTCCTAACGAATGAGTCTTTGGTCAAAGCTTTTGAATTTTCCTTAATTAACCTTATACCAAAAAAGCATGCTAATGAAATTTCCCGATAACACCAAGTAACATCATAGACACAGAAAAGGATTGACACATCATACAAAAAGAACTGGATGACCCTGAGTGGGTACTGATAATGGCATGGAATTTAACATTAGACAACAGCAAGACCTTACACAGAGGGACTAATAAAAACAAACTCTCCAATAATGTGGAAGCTGTTGATAAAAATAAGGACAGACATGAGTGGTTACCCTCTCCTGTTACAACCAAGTCAAAGAGTATGAAGACTTGAAAAAGTTGTTTGTAGGCCTAAGATGCAAGAAACAAATTATTCCCAGCAGAAGCAAGTGAAAATAGTTGTACAAGACTCCAGCAAGAATGCCAAGTACCATGCTGTGAGCTCAGGTAAAGAAAGATGAACTCAAACTGAAGCAGACGTAGAAAAACCCCGAAAACCAACCAAACAAAACCAAACAAACCAAAAATGAAGAACAGGAAAATCTGTTTTGTGAACGGAAGCTAAAATATATTGGATTACTCAGTTTAGCAAAATCCCTAGCCAGGATAAGATTGCTTTCTATGAATACATTAGGTGAGGTAAATTCTAGAAAAATATA